CTGTCCCCCAGACTATTTGTGGCTTTGAATCAGACATGCTCTTTCAGCCACTGTTCCCTTCATTAAAATGTGAATAACGGTGACCTACATCTCAGGTTCTTAAGTGCTTGGAAATTCTGAAGTACTGTAGAAAGGCTCTTGTCATCATTCAAGTCTAACAAGACTCAAGCACTTGGTTAACTCTTTTTCTTAATGCCATCTCTAACCAATGCTTCTTTTATTCTCCCCTTTCTGTATGTTCAAGCAAGTAGAAATGAGAGAAAAATACCTCTGAATCATTAGCACCCCAACAGGATACAGTACAAAACCTTCTGCTTACAAATATGTGGATCTGGAGCCTGGGAAGCAGGAAAATAAATTTCTCTTTGCTGGACTACAAGAGGGCAAAGTGTGGCAAGACATCTGGATAAAAGCCGTAAACAATATTTGGCACTCTTGGTAAAGAAAAAATATTTGCAGCATGATAAACAGGAAGCCAGGAGCAATTTGCAGTATAGCCAAGCATCCTTCTGAGATTGCCTTGGCTGAAAGAAAAATTAGCACCCATCAAGGAAAAAAAAACTCGTTTCTCTGATGCCAAGCGGAAAGAGCTGCAAAATAAACTTCATTTAGCACCTTCTTGAAATGAGAATTGGCACTGCTATTACTCAATCGAGAGTTCTCACTCAAGGCACAAATGACCAGACTCTAATTATCCTTTTTCAGACACATTTTGCAGAAACCTAGCTTTCTGGAAAAAGCTCTGATTCTGGGAAAGGTGGAAGGAAAAAGAAGAAGAGGACAACTAGCAAGTCAGATGGATGGACTCAGTTTTACAATTGTGTAAGTTCACCTTTGGAAGACCAGAAGGACCAGGTTAGAGACAAATCATCATGGGGAAAAAACTATATATCCACTAAGAGGCAACACTGAACTTACGGCACATAAGCAGGGGTGAAATCCAGCAGGTTCTGACAGGTTCTGGAGAACCGGTAGCAGAAATTTTGAGTAATTTAGAGAACCGGCAAATGCCACCCCTGGCTGGCCCCAGAGTGGGGTGGGAATGGGGATTTTGCAGTATCCTTCCCCTGGAGTGGGGTGGGAATGGAGATTTTGCAGTATCCTTCCCCTGCCATGCCCACCAAGCCACACTACGCCCACCAAGCCACACCCACAGAACCGGTAGTAAAAAAAATTGGATTTCACCATTGCACATAAGCAATCACCACTGCTATAGAAGGAACAAGGGAAGCAATAAGGACAGAAAAATGGCTCCTTATCTATATTTTTCTTGATATAATGACCAGGATGACAGACATCATAACCCTGATAGAGAGCACCTATGTGGAGGTCCTCACGGTTAATTTTGAGAATAATTTCCAGGGTGCATGAGTGCTACAAGTACAACATACCTTATTGCAATTTATATTAAGGCACTAGAATAGAATAACAGAGTTTGAAGGGACCTTGGAGGTTTTCTAGTTTAACCCCCGGTCAAGCAGGAAACCGTATACCACTTCAGACAAATGGTTGTCCAATTTCTTCTTCTACACATTACAAAATGTGTAATGAATTCAGCTTGGGAATCTGGCTCAGGAAAATATAGTTGAAATGAAAATAACCTCTAATATCAACCAGAAATATTTTCCTCTCTTGTTTATTTTTCCGTCGCCAACAACAATGTGCTGAAAAGTGTTAATAAACTTGAAAGCTTGCAACTAAAACTCTGTGATTGGCTCCACAGAGTTAGTGGTGTGTTTGTATTGTTGTTGTTTTCCTCATGACCACCATGGTAACAAATATGCTTTAAGAAAAAGGAAATGGAACCTTAGGTTTATAGTTGTGTTTAGCTCCAGTAAGATGCTCAGAGAAATGTTGAAGTGGAAAGATAGTAACCACAGATAAGAGTTGCAGCTGAAAGTTGTAAATTCAGTTTTAAGCATCAAAGTTGTTCTTGTTTACTTCCTTATCCCATTACTGAAAAAAGGAAGGAATTCTTTGTTTTTAGGATCAAAGGGCTGATCCTCCAGAATTCAAATTTTACGGGGAAAGGAACAAGCAAACTAGCAAGCAACTAGATTCTCAAGGGTGACTTGGATTGCCATGTGCAGGAAATGATTGGTGCTATTGAAAGCTGGCTAATTTCAGCTACACAAGCTGTAATGTCACACCGTGTATTTTATTTAACTCCAGCTGAATTTAACAGGACATATTTCCGACTGTCCAAATATAGTTTTGTCTATTAATGTATCATGAATTTTATTTTTGATGGCATTTGGGTTTTCCATCTAGCCACTTCCACGGGAAGACTTGGCACTGATTCAATAGCAGGTCTGGACTTTGCTGATCCCACAATGTTGGAAGCTCAGCTGTATGTAGTCTAAATCACACCGAGCAATTTTTCTTTATGCAGCAGTGAAGCCCTGCAAAACTTGTGAACTGTCCATTTTATCTTCAGAGGGAACTTCTGTCTCACCCATCCCCTCTTCTAACTTTCAGCCATTCTAACAGGTCCTCTAAGAGGAATGCTAGCTTGGTTTAACAGAGATAAAATTTAAAACAATTAGCCCCTTTCAATAATTTAAACAATACAGCCCAAAGAGATAAAATTGACAAGAGTCCATCCTCCTTCCACGTGCTTTCCACAAGGACCTATGTACAGTCTGTAGAACTTTCTTTTCAAGAAGTTACAGTTTCGACAACGTAAACAATAAGCATTTGGTTTAGAATATTTGATCTTTTTCCCCCTTCCTTTTTCTTACATACTTGCTCTGCTTGTATGCCGTACTTTCCTGGGGGTTTTGGCTGTCCAACAGCATCAACATAAACTACTATCCAGAAACCCCAGATGTATAAAAATAGCCCAATCAGAAAATATAAAACCCAAAACATCGAAGTGCCATGCACCTGTGAATCTCAACTTCAGTTATAAACACACTCTTCCTGTGTAAGAAGGAGTAGGTCTTTAACATTTTCCTGACACTGCTAAGAAGGGTGAAGCTGATAGAAACTCTTCTAGGAGGGAGTTTTATAAAAATAGGAGAAAGGAAAAGAAATGCTAATTTCCAGCACCTCATCATGTAACAATCCTGCAGAAGAGGTGGGTTTCAGCAGGTTCTGACCAGTTCTGGAGAACCGGTAGCGGAAAATTTGAGTAGTTCTGAGAACCGGTAGTAAAAATTCTGACTGGCCCCGCCCCCATCTATTCTCTGCCTCCTGAGTCCTAACTGATCGGGAAGAAATTGGGATTTTGCAGTAACCTTCCCCTAGATTGGGGAGGGAATGGAGATTTTACAGTATCCTTACCCTGCCATGCCCACCAAGCCACACCCACCAAGCCATGCCACGCCTACCAAGCCACATCTACAGAACCGGTAGTAAAAAAATTTGAAACCCACCACTGTCCCGCAGGGAAAAGATCTGGAGGGAGTCGTCCCTGTTTGATCAGATTAGATTAGCAGATGGCTAAGGGAGAATGCAGACCCTCAGATAACCCATCATGCATTTTGTTCTAATTATAGCTTCCAAATGTTGTCCAGGGACAGTCTCATGTGCAGCACCTGACTGCCGAGGGTCAAATAATTGGTTTCTTCTAGGACTCTTTACAGTTGCAGGGCCACTTTTCCCCTCATTTTGGCCTTTACCATAACCAAGCATCAGAGAAAGCACTTGTTGCCAAACTGATGGTGCTGCCTTCATAGTTATCTACAGGATTTTAATAGAGGAAAAATAATGGCTTGCTGATCAGGCCATGTAAGAATATGTGGAAATGACTTGGGAAATCAGGGCAAAGAGACACAGCCAAGGGAATAATTCAGATAAAAGGCAACGGAGCCCTCAGCAGGAATGTGGGAGGGGCAAGAGGTTCAGAAGAGACACTCCCTAGTTTCTTGGGCTGTAAAGGAGATGGGGTACTGTGGAGGTTTACTTTTAAATTTGCAAATGTAGCATTTACAATAATAATCTGGTCGTGATTGGTCTACCTCATAAGGCTGACAGGCAGTTCCAACTATTACAAATTTGGGAGCAATCATGGTGGTACTGAGCTCACAATTTAATTCCTTTTTTGTGTTGTTTCAGGACTGGCAGTAGTTTGCATGGGGTACTGACCAAATGACATTTTAATACATACCTGTTAGATGGAAGGACAGAACTGACTGCATCCTCATTGTGTTCTTAGTGTTTCAAAGTTAACAAGAGTAAAAAGAATCAGCCAGGCCAGTTTACTAGTCCGAAGAGTACACTGGGGCTGTGCAAAGATTTCAAAAGGTGCTTCACAGAGTATGTTACTACAAGTGGAGCAACCCTCACCAAAGTTTTGAGACAATTGCTCCAGAAGGCTCAAAATAGCTGCTCTGAGAACTTTCCCAGGTTGCCTCTGCATGTTTTTCAGGGGCATAGATGCACAAAGAAATGGAACGTGGCTGCCCTGGTGTCCATAGGCATAGGTTCCCCCCTTGCCACAGACCAAGAACAAATTTGGTCTTGCAGATAAGGCCACAGATGAATCCATAACATAGCAGTAATGTGGGAGAAGGAAAGAAATGGAGGTGCCAGTACTTCTCTCTCCTCCCCCGTCCTTTCTCTATTTGCCCTCGGGGGCCTCAGAGTCTGAACTGTGTCCCCACTGGAGACCTTCATTGCTTTGGGGTTCAGAGATCTTTCTTAATACTCCTGAGATACCTGCATGCACAAGTATCTCTCTTAAGCTCAGCTTCTTCTCCAGAGGAATGCTGTAAATGATTGTTTCACAATGTCTCTTTGGAGCTGGAGGAAATGGAGATTTTCCACTAGTGAGAACTGCTTCTCTCACTCTCATCTTTGACAATTCCCCATCTACAGAAACCAAGATGCCATATTAGCTTCACTTCAAAAATAACCATGATTATTATAAGAGGGATGAAGCTGACAGTTCTGTGGGAGAAGTTTCAGATACATAGCAGTACCTGCAAAAAGTGCTTTAGGCAAATTCAGAGTTTGCTTTCCCAGCCCACAGAAGAACCTAACTTGTACAGTTGCCATAGGATAAGACTTTTTATTCCCTCTTAAAACCATCCTACATACCGTACTGAAACACGTCAAAGAGTAGCCTACTGAGTATTGACCTGCACATACCCAGATAAGCACAAGCAAACAGGAAATGCAGCACAGTTTCAAATTAAAATTACAGTATATAGTTTAAGAGTTCTGTTCAAAAAACAGTTTGCTTTTAACAATTTGCTTAGAGACATTCACATAGACTTTTAAATGTATCTTTTATAAAGCAGAGTTCATAGTACAAAAAAGTACAGTACAACATTGGTTGCATTTATATTTAAAGTTTTTAAATACAAAATTTCAAATGCAAAATTTTGTTTGATCCTATTAATTTATTTGCCTGAACAAGAATTGTTCTTTTAAATTGGACAGTTAAAAAGAAACAAAAGAAATAATTTTACTTTACATGTCCCTTATCTGTCTATCATTTGCACATTATATTTTTTTATTATTTTATTTTGTTTTTTGCTCCTGTTTTTGGGAAACTGAAGATCTTAGTTGTTGAATCAAATCTTACACAATTAGCCTAGAAACTTAACTTTAGTCTCTTGTTGTTACCAAATTAAACATGCAAAGTATTTGAAACAATGCTAATAGTATATCAGTATGTATGCTTCTTAAAAGCTTAGTTTTGTCTGGTATTCCATTCTAACTCACAGATTCCCACTTCTACTAAATTTTTCCTTAGATTAGATGTCTTCCCACAATGAGACATGAGCCTCTAAAAGATGAATTATTATGACTGCATTTTTGTGTACTGCAGAATTATCGTATCTGTATACATATTGCAACCATTTCTGGATGTGATGTAAGCTGAAATATGAAAATCCAATATGGAACAAAGTTTTTACATATATCTTGAGAGTTAGAAGGTTATGCATAAGAATATATGTATACTCACTTGTTCACAACAAACCAGCCATCTATGCCTTATAGTTTCTTATAGGGAATTGACCATGGGATTTGGAGTGTTTCAGATACATGACCCTGTTTGGCTCCCCTATTAGAAAACTTCTATCTTCCCCCCCCCTCCTACAAATTTAACTGTTTTCCAAAATACAGCCTAGCTCTGAGTTGGCCGGATCTCTTGAAATGCAAACAATCCTCCCAGAGGGAAGCTTATTTGTTTTTTCAATCAGTCCTAGCAGATCCTTCATTACTGGGTGGAGTGAGTTGAAAGAGGAGCATTATATGAAACACATTCAAATATTATGGGGAAACAAATTATCAGAACTCCATGTATCTCCCAAGACCTTGCTTTGATCCAATGCTTATACAGACCTTCGGGGAAAACAACATCCTTTGCAGCCACCTCCAGTTCAAGCCCTTACTAATCCACCCAGCGTTTTGTGCTTTACTAATAACTATCTTCCTCCTTTAAACATATACTTGAAAATAATTAGCTACTTGTTTTTGAAAATGTGTGATGTTTTTACAACAGCTTCCCCAAATCTGGTGCCTTTCATTTACATTGGACCAACAGATTGGGACTAAGGATCCTTAAGTCCAACACATCTGGTGGATGGCAGGGGTTTAGGGAAGGCAAAAGAAAGCATTTGTGTTTCTATTGGCATGCTGTAAAATATAACTTGGAAGACTGAAGAAGCCCAAGAGATCCCTATCTCACCTGATTTTAATTTATTTTTGGATCATAAAGAAAAAAGTGGGACAGGGCAGCTGAGATGCTGAGTACCAGCCTCCACCATCATTTGTACCACAGGAATGCCACTGAGTCCACATAAGCCTCACATGTATTCTTGGGAAATAAACATTGGAGGTAGAAGTATGTAGCTGTCTAGAAAAAAATGATAAAGGAAAACTGACATAAGAGAAAGTAAGATGGGAAGCTGAAGTGTATAGTGAGAGAACTTCAACAGCTTGTCTTCTAGTATAAAGGTGATGTGTGAATGATGATGACAACAATGGCAACCATTTGATAAATAGGCAAAACACCCACCAGGCCATTCCACAATCATGATTTCAGGAGAGCAAGCAAAATGTTTGCCTACATGAAGGAGGCCATAATGACCTGCTAAAGAGTTACTTTAATGAGTGATTGGATAATAGACGTTTGATGCATTTTTGTTTCATATTTCCCACATGCTGTCAGCTAATAGAAATATAGTATACAAAACCTTTATACACCTGGTCATGGTATGGTATGCAGATACAAACATATGGAACCTATGACTTACAATGATTTTTTTTAACATGGGTCCATGAGAGCAATCACAACTCATGGTTTCAATCCTACCATGTAGGCAAAAGAACCTGTATAAGGAGATGACTTCAGACATTTTCTGAAGCTGCTGGTGGCCAACTAATAGCAAGCAATTGTTTCATGCATTAAACAATATAATGTGTTACCTGGAGACTGTGAAACCTGCACTCGCCTGGAGATTTGGGAGATTTTCATATACCATTTATAGAACAAGGAAATAGGAGAGCATCCATCAAAAGAAACAACAAAGACAATAGTTTTAGTATCCATAGAATGCATGTCCACTGTAGTAGTTATGTTTATGTGTGTTGTACAGCTGATTTCTCTCCTCTGGAAGCTGAAAAATGACTAGGTCCAGTACAGATAGTCCTCAACTTACAACCACAATTTAGCCCAAAATTGTGCATTAAACAATATGTGTTACTAAGTGAAACATTTGTTAGGTGAGTTTTACCCCATTTTACGACCTTTCTTGCCACCATTGTTAAGTGAATCACTGAAATTGCTAAGTTAGTAAATGGTTGTTAAGGGAATCTGGCTTCCCTGTTGACTTTTGCTTGTCAGAAGGTCGCAAAAGCTGACGGCAGGACATTGCAATCATCATAAATATGAGCCGGTTGCCAAGAATCTGAATTTTGATCACATGACCACAGGGCTGCTGCATCGATCGTAAGGGTGAAAAACGGTCATGTCACTTTTTTCAGTGCCGTTGTAACTTTGAACGGTCACTAAATGGAACTGCTATAAGTCGAGGACTACTTGTACTGATGATCACTGGCACAAATTAAGAATGGCTCCAGCCCTTCACTAAATGGTCACAAAACTGTCTTTTCCTGATAGAAAACTTGATGTCCATTAGAAGAAGTGAGCTATTTCAGCAACAATGGTGAACACAGGATTCAGCAAACTGGAACACGGTATCTAGCCTTGAAGTGGGACTCAAACCAGTCATTTCAGCCTTTGTCCTACATCACCTCAGCCGTTATAGTTCTGCTCATTAGTATCCCTCACTGTTTCCCAGGTCTTCCCCCTCTCAATTTCTAAAAACTATCTTCCAAAATGGCTGCCCCAAAGAGCTGAGTTGCCTGGTGTATTTGGAAACTGCCTGGATGAAGGCATAACAAAAGCTGAGCCTGTTATATCTCAGGATATACTGTGCTGTTCCAATCCTTCAGCCAGCAGAAACATCCTATAATTTGTCTCTGTAACGTCACACTCAGAGAGAAGATTGAGGGCTCCAGATGGGGGAATGAATAGACTTCAAAAGAAAGGAGAAAGAAAAAGAGTGGGTAATATTTTGGAATGGGTAACATCTGTGGGAACTGTGGCACTGTCAGAAAAAAGAATGCATGCAGCAGAAGATGGGAAGCAGAGCTGGCTGAAAAGACTGCGTGTGAGAACTGCACAAAAAAGACGGCAAAGTTGAAAGGCAGTTAAAACATTAAAAAAAAAATCCACAGGGAAAGAGAAATACTCTGGTTTGTGCATGTATGTACTTGGCATAAAGTGGCTTACACGTGGAAAGGGGGCTGTAGTGCTTCTATGCCATCAAGCAGCCTCTGCAAATCAGAACGGGCAAAGGAGGCGGCAAAAGAGTGACCTTTAAGACTGTAAATGCCCAGCCACCCCCTAGCAACGCCTCCCTCTTCTCAACAACTCTGAATCATTCTACTCATTGCAGTCCTGGCTCACCTGCCCCAATCCTTGGCATATGGACTTAAGAATGTGGGGTCCTTGCTGCCTTCCCAGGCATATGAGCAGCCAATCGTATTTCTCAGCCTGCGGCCTTGAAAGTGGATCTGATCCATTCATGACCACCTTGAAGTCCTATGCCAGGACTCCCAAATAAAAGGAAAAACAGGAATTTGTTTCCACTTCCCAGCCCTCCCCAGCGCCAAAAGTGGGGAGAGATACAACGTCACCAACATTATTGTCATCACTATTGTCATGATCATTGATCATTACATGGAAAGTGGGAAACTGCTGAAGATTCCTGCCTCTTCACACCATGCACGGGGTCTGCATTGACCCAGCACAGCAGGAAACTTATAATTAAATTGACCTTCTGTGCAGCAGGGGACTAACATGCTCTCTTAAGAGTGCTAAACTCATTTATAGCAAAAGCCTGTGTAACACCCAACAAGCACTTTAAAAAGGTGTTACACAGTCAGATACCTCTGACTGAAGCCAGGAATTCAATCTTAACTCTGCCCTGCAAACCAAGTAAAAATGACCATGGTGGGCAGTGTCCAAGAACTGTATTAGAGGGAATATGCTTTCAACAGGAGGGAGGTAGTGGTTTGTGGAATCAGTGCTTTAGTGTTATGCTTTTTAATGCATCCCCATTGGATGCAGATAAACAGCAGTTTCTGAATGAAAGGTCAATTAATAAGGCCTTCCAAAAGAAAAAGGTGTAGCTTTTTCAACTAATGTTATACTAAATAATAACAAGCTTTTTATTATTAGGTGGCATTAACACAATGTCCAGCTAGGGGACAGAAGGCGGCTTAGGTGCATTGCAGAGAACTCAAAGACCTAAAAGGTTAAATGAAAAAGAAGGCCTGAAGGACAGAAGTCAATGGGAAAAAGGTGTTTAAAACGTATAGAGTGGATCATCTGATTGTTCAATTGAGGGCAAAAAACCCACAAACATGATAGTAGTGGTATCTCTCTCAGGGAGCACAGCGGAGTCCGCTGGAGAAGGTTTAGAAATTAATACAAATGAATGCTGGAGATTAAGGTCAATATGGACACGAATTAGAGGTAGTGCAGTTTCATAGCTGTGAGGGATGAGATTCCACCAGGAAACATGAAGTTCAATGATGGGCAATGGAAACACCACAAATCAGAGAGATAATGGCTGTGTATCCTAGTACCACAGAAAGACCTCCAAGTTATGGCAGGCCTATCAGGACAACCATTAAGATATAATCTGGGAATATATGAGTGTTTGATCAGTGAAATTCAAGATAAAACAATAAGATTCAATCTCCAGTTTGAGATCCTCAAGATGTGTTGGACTACGTCTTTCCAAAGTCTCAATCCTAACTAGACTGAAAACTGTAGCTGGACAATACTAGCATCTTGGAAGTTCTAGTCCATCACGTTAGGAGAGCACCAGGTGAGGCTGATGTAGAAGAAAAGCCATGTTTATCAAAAGAGAGATCCTAGTTTAGAATATCTCATCAAGGTCCGAGTTCTGTGGATGCTTCCAGTGCAAGTGAGTGCCTCCCCGCAGCGAGCAGTGCTAGAAATCTGCAAAAAAGGGGGACAAGCCAAAGCTGATAGGAACAAGCTGTCCATCTGCTAGCTGATTCAAGGCTCTGAGCTGGGCTTAACCAGATATCCACTGAAGGTGACGTAGGTGTCATATTCATCACTGAACACAGCATTGTCACGTTCACCCTTGAAGAGCCGTATCCAGATTTCATCCTGGTCCTGTAGCTCTATCATGAGGCTCTGGCTCTGCATGATGCTTCGGTCACTAGCCTGTGCATATAAGATGGCTGCTTCCTTTGTGTTGTGCATGATGTGAAGGTAGGTCTCCTTCTGGTTCCAGGTGTGCACATTGAGACTGAAGAAATATATGCCCGGGACGTAGCAGTAGAATTTGCCCATAAACATATTGAAATGGCCATAGAGGTTCACAAACTCAGTGTCAAAGACGAGTATCTGGTAATAGTCATTGCTATGCAAGGGTTTCCGCCGACCCACCGAAAAGGCAGCATAGTTGGTCTTGTAACTCTCTCCGGGTGATCCCATGTTGCCCTTTTGCCCCTTGAAGCCCATCTCACCCTTCTTGCCTGCTGCACCGGCTTTTCCCAACTTCCCTTGGAAGCCACGATCACCACGGTCCCCTTTCTCACCTGAGAAATAAAGATGTTATGACAGATCGCAGTTTCCTTCAGCTGGCTTGCCCCCCACCTCCCCCAGGACGTGTGGGAGTTTTACTCTGCCTGATTGAGGATTAAGGCTACTAACGTCCCATCTGTCTGGAGGGTAGCAATTGGTGAAGGCATCTTTTAGGAACAATTGAAGAGAGACAACCACTAGGGTTTATGGGATCACCAAAGTAAGAGAAAAGGATCTCATAAAGTGCAATGGCTTTCTGGCTTCAAACCAGAAAGCAGAAAATGCCCTTAATGTGGAAAGTGTCCAAAATGCTTTGAGCAACAAATATTGATCTGAATCCTTTTTTTTTTTTTCTTGGCACTTTATAAGACTTCCTCTCTGCTATTTACATCTTATTTCTATTACTGTGGTCTAAAAAATGGCTGATTTCTTGGCTAAACCTCTATTTATACATTTTAATACAACAGGGAGATACAGTAAATAAAAGAATCCATGCATCCCACTTGTGGCAGGAAACCCTGAACAGAAATGGTGCCAGTTGGTCCACTTCTATTCCTTGCTGGCTTACCATTTAATAAAACTATATACCATCTCCATTCTTGCGGCAGGGAAAAACCACTACATAATATGATGTCTTTCCTGGCTTAGATTTCAGAGAGATACATATGTGGTAAAATACTTTTTCCTGCATGAATGAAACTATGTCTGCACAGCAATGCCTTCAAACCGATGAGTATTTTTTTGTATATTAAATAGACTTACCACTGAATTTTATGCTAAATCAATTTAAATATTAACTATGGAACAATGGTTTCTATTTTATCCATTAGATAAAATGTGTAACATTCTCATGTAATCTGAACATGTAATCTGAAAATAAATGTTCAAAAAACGTGAAAGTTTTCAGTTTTGAATCTAGAATGATCAAAAGACAGGGGGAAAAAGGGAGAACTCTACAATAAATATACAGTATACTCATAGAGTAACTCAAGTGGAGAACCTCTGGCTCATAGGCCAGATGCAGCCTGCAGAGTCTCCCCATATGATTTGGTTGGCCTCTCTCCACTGCTCCCCAGTCCTGCTAGGAGCACTTATATTTGGTTTCAACTGAATGCTTTTCCCAAATGAATCTGCAGTCAGCAGGAAAGAGTAATTGCGGTTGCCAAAGGGGTGGAATTGTGTTATGCATATATGAATGTTATAAACAATGTGTGCATCCCCGTGTGAGAGAATGAGAGAGTCAGATTGGAAAATCTTCCATTAATTCAGTTTAAAGATTTTTATCAAACTAACTGTACTGCAAGGGGAAGGGTGGTACAGATTTATGTGAACAAAGGTATGGACATACACATAGTTATTAACCCAGGCTTAACCCAATCCTTAAATGAAATAGCTAACTTTCAGCCTTTCTTAGCCTAATTTCATACGCTTGTGTTATTTTTATAATTGTGGACACCTACTATGTATATTGCTTTGAGACCCTGAATGAGTAATAGGATATAAATTGAAAAGTAAGTAGAGGAAATACAAATACAAGTTACTGATATACTGATAGAAGAAAAACTGTGTGTAGGATGGGATGTAAATGAAAGGTTGGTGGGGCTACGAAAAAGAGTGTGGACAAAGGTTCCTGCCTATTGCCACAGTTGCCCAACCCAATGTTGGTTTCTGGGATTTAATTTTCCTTTGAAATCTCAGATTCAGCAATCCTGGGGCCTTTTCTGATGATACAACCTCTCTACCCTCCAGATCAGGCCATGTCCTAACATAACCTCTGGTGTCCTAAGTCTGACTCAAGACTAATTGTTGGTTTCCCTTGGCCTCTGTTAAGGAAGGAACTTGGATAAAATTATCATAACAGTTCCTTCCAGCCAAGGAATTTACTTAACCCATACAACTTCCCCCTAACCTAACTCTCTAGATTTTGCAGAACCCAAAGTTTTGTCTAAAGACAGCCTCTCCACATTATGGTTAAAACATAGGAGGGACAGGACTCCAAATGCCAATTCTCCATGGCTTCTGGAAGCCTATCCCATTTCTGCTCCAAACTGGCAGATAATTGGTTTGGGTCAGATGGGCAGGGATTTCAAGGCATGACCTGAGCTGCCGATGCCAAGTAATAAGTTGTGATTCTGTCCCTTATGAAATGATGGAACTTAGAAATGTTAGGGCATATCCTAGAGCTCTCTGAAATTTATGCACTTTGAAATCCTCTCATGAATTAAGAGATGAGGCAGCTGCAATATTGTTAGCTTATTCGCCCTCTGGCTGTGCACTATGCTCCCTCCCCATCTGCTTCCGTAGGCAGAATTGATGTAATAATCTAAGACAAAGTGCAGGGAGGCCACCCTATGGATGGAACAGATTCTGAAAACCAGGTGAAAATGGATGGAGAAACCTTGGCTATCTTGCCCCCTGATGTGAAGGATTTACAAGTATAGAACTGATTTTAACACGAGGCATTTTATGTCCTTTTCTCTCCTCTGTTCCAAAATTGATCAAACAGCTGTGTTCATTACCTCAGATTATAATGCTGCTGCTGAGTTAAATATCTTAAAGGGGATTCAGCAAATTAATGGGGATGCGGCTTATTCATGCCTACTAGTCATGATAGCTCTATTGCCTCCCAGACTAGAGCGGCTTCTCAATCCTGTAAAACCAACTGGTGGAGAACAGAAGCGGCAAAATTTCATTTGTGTATGAACCAAAAGTATTGGATAGGAACAAAGTCCCACTTCAATATGCCTTAGTTAGATCCAATACAGCTATATTTATGTTCTCATTTTTCTGAGCCGGTGTTTTAACTTCTCATAATGCTCCAGGGCAATGTTATGCTGGGGACATTGTAGGAAATGTAAATGATGTTCCCTCAGGCTGCCCCAACCAACTCACTATACAGCCTTGGGACAAATCTATAGAACTGCCTTATACCATGGTGAGGAAAGCCTACTAACTATTTCCAGAGGGCATGTCCACATGTCCCTCCTGTATCTCACCATTACACAGAAGGCAACTCAAATATGCTTTTCAGTGCTTTGTTCTGTGTTTTTCTCTTATTCTATCTCCAATTGCTGTGTGTGGAGAAATAAAGGGAATACTGATGCACATGGGGGAGGCAGCCTGAAATTAGGTCTCCTGTATTGAGAAACTGGAGACTCCAGTTAGTTCTGCTGGCTTCCTATCCATAATGATTTCTTCTATTCCTCAATCCTCTTTCAGCTACATGGGACACCAGAACCCCAACTATATAACCTCTTTTTTTAGCTACCAGTAGATTGGTTGATCTAGTCGCAGGGGTGTCAAACTGGCAGCCTGCGGGCCACATACGTCAAGCAGAGGCCACGCCCAGCCCAGCTCTGGAAAAACATCGTGAAACGTCACATGATGGCAATGTGACGCGGCAAGTTTGACATCCGTGATCTAGTGAGTGTGAAACCTTAATTAATCACTGGTTTAAGAGAGATTACTCAAAGTATTATTGAAAGTGTCTATGGAGATTCTCAGTCATCCAGGTTATTGTTGTCCGAAAGGTGCTTTTTCAAGAGACAGTGCAGTTGCCTCTTGAAAAAGCACCTTTGGGATGTTATTGAAAGGACTCATTTTTTGTACTTCCGTAACTTGGATAGTAGGGAATTGCTTAAGCACTTGCTCCTAATTTCTTTTCCTCGTATAATTTTCTTAGAGTAATTTATAGCTTTCACATCAATCCCCATAGCTAATCCCCTTTCTCAACCTCCAATTCTTCAACAGCATTTATCCAACAACTGCATTTTCATTGTTCAACCCTGAATGACTACATCACAACCAAGAGAGACAAAAACTCTCTTTGCTGCCATCTAGAGGTTGATACGTCAGTCAACTAGTTAACCTGTACTTTCAAGTAATTTTAAAAATTCAGTCAATAACATCCACAGTAAAGAAATAGGGAGGAATATATGGAGTAATCAGAGTGTTGTGCAAATCCATTGGAGGAGGCTTTTCATATGATGGATGATGTTGGGCAAGTTTGGCTGTCAACTAGGAAAACAGCCTATTACAGTCCTTAGGAGTTGCCCATTAAAGTTTTATAGATAGCGGCCCCATAAGGGCATGTATAGGGGCAGCAAGATTTAGTACAGTATGATTTCCTGCTGGCTCAGGGACAGGAGTACAGCAAAACAATTGTGTGGAGGTGGCCTTGGCATTGGAGAAAGTTTAGTCAGAGGACATTGCCAATTTTAAGCCTTGGAATGACTAATAGCAGAAACAATAAATGTTTTTCTAGGATGACAAAACAAAAAAAGAAAAAGACCCAGATCAGGAATCTTAGGAGGGCAAGCAGAACATCTCCAGTCCAAGAGATCATGGATAAATGTGCATGATGCTCTAATAGCCATGATAACTTTCATGTTGTCCACAGAGGTATGTTTGTGGTGCATATTGCTCATGGATAAATGGATGGCCGACCTTTCCCTAAATCTCACATTTTGAATGCAAAGCAGCACAACTGGCCCAGTGCCTCTTACCTTTCAGGATGGTCATGTTGATCTGAGGCACGGGGTAATACATGGGATGTGCTGCAGGAGGATCACAGCAGCGAACACACTCCGACCTTCCTGGCTGCTTGCTGTGTCTCGGATAGCCATATTCAGTTCTGGGAAGCAGAAACAGCATAGACAGAATAGTCAAAGGGCCAGAATTGGGAAAGGAGACTCGGACCCCGAGTTTTACTTCTATAAGCCCATCCTATTCCCCGACAGCACTGTTTCACAAAATATGAAAAGTTAAATGTAGTTGACAGGAATTATTGAGACCCCTGCCTGGGCAGTTTATGGGCAGCAAACAATCAGCAAATCCAATCCCAAGAAACCAGGGCCTAGTATAGTTGTCTTCCCCAATCCAGCAACCTTGAACCCAGATTTTGAAGCCAAGGTATGATAATTAAATGTGCAAGTAGGTCACCGCCTCCAACTTAAGCACCAGAGAGCAAAATAACAGAGGAATGCCATATTATAGGAAAGAATACTTTGGGAGTAGAAGTGTGTATGGATTATAATGAATTATAATTCAATCCAAGATGTGGCAGGTGTCCTTTGGCAGAACCCAAGAGCTGTTGAGGAAAAACTTTAGTCTGCATTTATTCAAATATTGGAACATATATGGAATCAGTGCTTGTTGCAATGGTTGAGGTACTTGTACTTCAAAACTCTGACACCTAGTTAACCTTGGAATCTTGACTTTTTATGAAATTATAAGTGCTTAGTACTAGTTGTTGATCCAGGATTGTGTGACTACAGCTTTTGAACTGTCACTTGAAAACTGGGATAGTTTTTTATTACTCCTATTCAAGACAAGGCCAGCTTTCAATTAACTTGATCAGTTTACGGTGCGATTCAAAATCATATTTTATTCTTTTTCCATTATAGTTACTATGATTCCAGTCCCAAGCAGTTAATTTGTTATGACTAAGAAAAATAAATATCTGTATCCTGTAGACAAACTCTCCAGCTACTTCCAGAATGATATGTATGAGGATGCTATAGGATTGTCTAATAGAACAATTAAAATTCTTTTAATTGAAGAAGAGAGCCATTTTGGTGTAATGGTTAAAGTACTGGATAGAACCCCGGAGATGGGAGATCAAGTCCTCACTTAGGCATGGAAACTGGATGGGTGACTTTGGGCCTGTTGCTCCCTCTCTCAGCCCAACCCACCAAACAGGGTTATTGTTGGGGAAATAGGAGGTGGGAACATTATGTTGGCTGTCTTGAGTTGTACAAAATAAAGGCAGAATAAAATTATAATAAAAGAAAAGACTGTCACAATAGACCTTGTTATACCTGTATTTAATATATTTAAGCAATAATAAAAACTAGCTGGATAGATATTTAATCATGAAAAACAAAAATAAAAAACCCCTTGCAACCTTCCCATCATTTTCCTCTTAATTTTTTCTTATTAAAAGCAACAACACAATCTATTAAGGATAAGAAAAACTGAACAAGTGGACAAAAAGAAAAACAAGGGAGAACTGTAAATTAAAGCCATCAACATATTGCCTCCTTCCAATAAATCAGTGAACTATAGTAACTGTGCCACAGAAGTTCACCTACCTACCTTTTTTCACTAATGATCTTTAGGGTAACTTAGGCCTTGCTATAGAAATACAAAAGGTTGCTAGGCTGACTATCCATTTTCCCAATTCTCTGTTCTATAATTTTGCTGTAGGGTAAAAACCAGGATGTGGCATTAGAAATCAATGGCCTGGGATAAGACACGGCCAGTGACACGAACCTGGGTTTGCCAGGTTTTTCAGTTGTTGTGGTAAACAACAAGTAAAGAAAGGCTCTAAATACATCTATATTGTATGAACTAGCTGAGGAGGACTCTGAAACATTATTTGTTTGTCAGATGAATATTCCACCTTTCTTCTACGACCTTTTTTAATTTTTCCCCACAACAACCCTGTGAAGTAGAAAAAGAGTAAGATGTTCCAGAGTCATCCAGTGAGATTCCTTGCTGAAGACAGACTTGAACCCTAGTCCAAAACCTTCACCTCTAGACTCCTTCACATTGCACAGGCTTGCAAAGCAGAGATTTGGTGAAAACTGGGTGAAACACTGACAGGGGTGATTTGGGAATGGGGAAGGGAGAAGAGTCAGGCGATTAGCATGGCTGGGTTCCCTCCTCATCCCAGGAGATCTTATGAAGATGTGCATTGTGATAGGACAGACACATTATAGCTATTATATATATTATAACAATCAAACAAATTTTTCTAGCTGTCAGTTCCTGCCCAGATTCATTAAAAATGAAATAGAATAGACATTTTATGGAGGTGGGAGTGAAAACAGATCATGGATTGGCCAGACTGAAAAGACCCAGAGCAATCTAAATCCTTGGACATGAAGAAAAATTGCCAGCTACTATGGAAGAGAAAGCTGCTGCACCCAATGACTGTAGGGGACTACAAAATCTGAATTTACTCTGCAACCATGAGGGCTGGTGCTACCCATCTAATTATACATCTGTTGGAGAAAAAGTCATGCCCTCCAGGTACTTCAATTTAAAAGATGCCATACCTTTTTTTCCTCATAACTTTTAGCAGATGATTGCTGGCTTGTGCTCCTTCAGGGGAACAACCTTTTGCCTAAAGCAGGAATAGGGAATCAACTTGCCAAGACACTGGGCTAAATGTTTTTTTTCAAGCAACTAAATAGGACCTCCTCCCAGTTTCTGTAATTAGCACTATAACTTGGGGGGGGGCAGTTTGGCAAGATATTTCTCTGTATTTCCCCCCTTGTGATCTAGCATCCAAATTCCATTATTACAAACCATTATTCCAACCCTTTGCCTGAAAAATAAACCAGCAGATGATGGTAGCCAGAAAGACAGGGGAGAGGAGGGAAGGTGTTCCAATATGAAATATACTGAGGGCTCAGGGGCCAGTATTTTCAATCTCCTGGGTACTACAGCATGGTGTATAACAATCTTATTGGTAGAGTTGCCACCCAAATATTAATGAGTTAATTCTACTTTATTATAAATCTACATTAATAGAATCTTGGAAGTTTGAAGGTAAACTTCTTGCAATTATTTTGGACTGCCTAATCAGTTAGGGTGGGTCCTTGCTAAATTTCTTTCTCTGACCCTTAAGCCACTGGGGGCTCCTGCTTCTGAGGGGTCCTTGGTGCTCTCTGGGCTTGCTTGTTTTCTTGCAGACATTTCATTACCCTAATTAGATAACATCATCAGTGCTCCTGCTTCTTTTGATTGATGGTTTTTCAGGCAGTATCTCTTCCCTTATTCCCCAAGATCACCCATCCAAGGAATGGATCTTTGGGAACAAGGGGAAGAGTAGACCACAATGGATATAATAGACCACAGGAGATCACAGGAAGAAGGGTTAGGATGCCTAAATAAATCTAGTGTGCATCTATATACTACTAAAATTTATATGTCTGTTTGTTGGCTGAAATGGTGCGTCAGAGGGCAACATTTTTTGAATCAACATATTTCAAAGGCATCCAAAATTCAGGAACCATTACTCCTGTGGGATTGAAATTTAGCAAAGTTGTGGCCATTTCAGCACCACTGTGCCTTCCAACTACACTTCCCAGAAACCTTAGTTTGTGTGACACAAGGGAAGATGGAAGGGGTGTATTCTAGCCGCTTTCCTGCCTCTCTGTAGCCCCTGCACCCAATTGGCTGGCAGCAAGGTCTAACAGGTGAGTGGCAATTGTCTGGTTTGGAACATAGACTACAATTCGAAATAACTTAACAGTGGTAGATGGTGAGGGAAGGCCAGGGTGCTTGTGTGCTTGCTAAAGAGGCAGGACTGATTGAGCAGCATTGGAAGTTGATGGATGAGTCCTCTTCCTCCCTGGAAGGAGGGGACCCTTGGAGACACATTGGGATGGAGAGCATAGGTAGTTTTCCTTGTGGTCCACTGCTCCCTTTGTTCCTCCTTCCCTCCAAAAAGTGGTAGGCAGTTCCACAGGTCAGTCAAGGAAGAGTGATTCCCAATGCTGCCACATGCAAAATCAATGGAGAAGTAGGCAGGACTTTGGAAGTTGCTCTCACTACCACTGCTTTTTTTCCCACCCATGATCATTCCTGTTTGTTTAGGTAAGGGAATATATCTGAAAGGATGACCCAGTGGTTACAGGTTGTCTAGTTATTTCTATTCCTTTCTGTTCGGAGACAAAAAGAAGCAGCTAAAGAAATTCAGCAGGAGATCGTTTTCCCTCACTGGACATTTCTCAAAGAACACAGAAGCACTCAACATTTCTATACCGTTTTCTAGGAACGATCAGGCCAGATTAAGACTGGATGGAAGCTGGACAATGAAGGAGTTTATTGTGGGTGGGTGGTGGGTGCTAGCATAAACAAACATGGCCCTTTCCAGTAGAGAGATGCCTAGAGAATGTTCACTCTGATTAAACAGGATCCTTAATTGTGTGCCTATGATTCAACCATTAAGGTTTTTTGCAGTCATTTGCACCTCCTCCAGAGCCATTTGTACCCAGAAGCCTCTGGCTTAATTTAAAGTGGGACAGAGTGAGTTAATTGTGCATAAACTGCACACTGAAGATGCACATTAATGAAGTTAATTGGGCATTGAAGTACAACCATGAAGTGTTTTCTTCAACTGTCAGCAGTTCTGGTTAAAAGTTTCATAGTTCTGAACAGCTGCCCAGATATGTGGTCTGTTTAAACACGGTCCCTTGAGATCAGCTTCCACTACTCAAGAGAACAGGTGTCTGTGTGTGGGGGTGGGTGGGTGGGTGGGTGTTATTTATGGCATATTGGTTTTATTGTAATGACTCACCTAGAAGTCTGATCCCGGAGTGGTGGTCGTGTGGGCATTCCTGGCCTCTCTTCCGCCTCTCTTTCCATTCCAGAAGCTTGAAATAGTAGGCAGATAAGCCAAAAAGTACTGTGTACCAGTGGTCCCTTCATGGTGTTGTGTCCTGTTGGAGAAAACAGGCCGATAAAACTGCTGGAGATGCTCAAGAGGCAGGAAATTAACTTGCTTGCTCACCATTCATTTCTGCTGATTCTCTGCCATTGCATAGGAAATAGAGCCTCCCTTCCACTGCAAAAGCACTAGAAATACCAGTGGTGAGGCTTAGTTTGTACTGTTGCACTCAAAGGACAAGGCGATACTCTTGTTAGTGTACTGTCCTAAATTGTATGATCATCACAGGGCCGGTGGTGGAATTCCCTGGGTTTGTGATGCTGGGGGATTTCAATCTGCCTTCTTCAAAGGAAGGACCAGAGATAGTCCAGTATAGGGGTGTCAAACACAAGACCTGGGGGCCGGATCCAGCCCACCTGGTGCTTAGATGTAGCTCGCGGGGCCGCCCTGGAAACAGCAAAGGACTGGCCTGCGGTACCTCTGCCAACAAAAATAGAGCTCAGAAGGGCGGCTCTCCCGAGCTCCATTTTCACTGGCAGAGGGTTTCAGGAGACCATCGCAGCCAAAAACGGAGTTTGGGAGCCCATTTTCATTGGCAGAGCATTCGGGCCACCATAGGCACCCCCGACACGAGTAACATCAAGCTGGCCATGCCCCCTGGCCACGCCCCCCTGTCCCTGAGGTCAAACACAATCCTGATGCAGCCCTCGATGCAGAAATCGAGTTTGACACCCCTGGTCTAATAATTCATGGCCACCATGAGAAAGTCCCAAATAAAGGAGAAGGAAGACCTATATGATCACTCTGGGTGTCTAACAGAAGCATTCAGTTTCCAGAAGGTGGTTAGGGAGTTTCTTGAGATTCTGGTTGGTAGTTCCTACTGAGGCTTTAGTGGCCTGCTGGAATGTGGCAGGTAAAAACCTTGGACAGGATTGTACCTATGCAGTCTCTCCCAGTTTGTCAATCCAGGGAGGAATTCCTTACTTTACTGAAGAGCTCTGGGAGATGAACTGGCTTAGAGGAAGCCTACAGCATTACTGCAGAAGACTGAGTGAAGCTGAAGAAACATGGATAGCAACCTACATTCAAGCCTACACTGTAGTAGTAAAAGCATCAAGGCATAATTATTTCTCTGCTCGTGTTATCATCCAGCAGTCGCTTTCAAAATTAACATGGACTCCACTCTTTTAGAGAAAGATTAGTGGAAGAACATTTGCAAAAACACTGAAGAATTTTTTTAGATTTCTGCTGGACAAAACCAGTCTGAGGGCTTAAACGCCAGCTGGGCAACTCCTCCCGAAATGAGACCATGTCTTGTGAGGTTCTCTGGAATGAGTTTAAATCTACTGGTCTAGAAGAAGCAGACAAGATTCTTTGTGGTATCAACTCTGCCAATTAGAGTCTGGATCCCTATTCTTCCTAGTTGTGAATGCTTCTAAACTAGTGGCAGGAGGTTGGGTCAGTGTGGTGGTGAAAGCAAAATTTTGGAAAAGAAATACTATTGGCTGCTTGAAAGAGCTGTGACAGAACTTCTTTTCAAGAAATCATCACTTGATCAAGTCATACTACATAACAATCATTGAGTCTCCAACCTTCCTTTCATGGGTAAAGTTGTTGAGAAGGGCAGGAGGAAAAATAAGCTGAGGGTCACTGTGGTTAAAATATGACTGGGGTGGGGGAAAGGGATGGTTCAGTTCACTTCCTCATCATCCATTCCTTTCCTCCTGCAAATTGCTTTTCCTCTATCTCTTTGCTGTGGAAAAATGGGAGCTGGACATTCCAGACACATGCTTCCTAAATAACTTTCCTACAAAATGAGGGGAAAAAGACTGCAGAGAAGATTGAGATGGGTACGTCTCTCCCACACATTATTCTGCTCTAAAAATCTGATAGAAAAACTGCATCTGGGACATTTCAATGCAATAATGAACTTCACTCCCTCTTAATTTCCTTTCATCCGAGTCTTTCAAGGCAAAATACATAGTGATGCACATAGCAGTTGCAAATGTGAAGAGCCTGAAAGCTTGCCCACCCTTAGTCTGTAATAAACCAAGAGAAAATAGTTCCAACAAAATTAACCATATTTCCTAAAATCTGTGGCCAAAAGGCCCCAAGAAATACAGAATAACAGAGTTGGAAGGGATCAAACTCACTGTTCAGGCAGGAAACCCTACACCATTTTAGACAAATGGTTGTCCAATCTCTTCTTAAAAATCTCCAGTGATGGAGCATTCACAACTTCTGGATGCAAGTCGTTCCACTGATTGTTCTCACTGACAAGAAATTCTTCCTTAGTTCTAGGTTGGATTTCTCCTTGGTAAGTTTCATGGCTTCTTGTCCTGCCTTCAGGTGCTTTGGAGAATAGGTTGACTCCCCTCTTCTTTGTGACAGCCCCTTAGATATTGGAAAACTGCTATTATGTCACTCCTAGTCCTTATTTTTATTAAACTAGACATATCCAATTCCTGCAACTGTTCTTTATATGTTTTAGTCTCCGGTCCCCTAATCATCCTTGTTGCTTTTCTTTACACTCTTTCTAGAATCTCAGCATCTTTTTTATACCACACAGCTGGCTCAAGATCTGGATCTACAAGATTCTCATGAAAATAGTGGTATCTCTTATGGAAAAGAATGAGATGGCATGTTGTCAAAGGAACACAACTGTAGTCCACTGCAAGCAGAAGTCACACTTTTACAGGCTACATTTAGGCAGCACACATGCAAGCTCAAGCATACTTCAGTCATCAATTATATGAATGTGTAAATACTCTCATATTGATTAAGGAACATACTAACAGTATAATGCTTCCTATTGTATTTCACCATGAACTTCAAAGAAGCAAAGAGTAGGTTCCCAGAAAGTTAGTTCTCATGTGTTTCAACAGGGGGGCTGGATCTGATGCCCCGAGACCAGCATATATTAATTGGTGCAAACTGAAAAACATCTGCATATGGACTTACAAGTTTCCATATACGGTAGCATCTTACCCAGAGAGGGGACCCTGTTTCTTAGTAACTTCTCCTAACTTCTCTTTCTCTGGACTTAACTACAGCATTATAAGATGTGCTATAGAAACTTTTTGCATGACAAATGTTAAATGGCAATGATTATGACTGAGAAAGAGTTCTTATTTAACCACCTTTCATAATGAATGAGATTATATTCAACTTTCATGGTACTTTCCCAAAGCCACTTGTCCCAAAGCCTTGGAATGGTGAAAACAAGAAATCTGAATAGATATACTGTTTCTATCTCTCATTCTTCCCTCAAAGTCTCCCGCAAAACATATGCAAGCAGTATTGCAGGAAAATGGAACATCTAATTGATCCTGGAGAAAGAGAAAACCATCCCCATAAATAGATACTTATCAAATGGTTGCTGTCTACTAAAAAGATCTGCATACATGCAGAGAGAGACAGGATGGGACAGGACAGCACAGAACAGGCACGACCAATGTTGACTGGCATGGAGAGATGTCCAGAAGTGCATACAAAGATGTGTTCTCAGACTGTGTTTGTTTTTTCCGGTTTCACTCTGGCAACTTGCCATCTCCCAAGGGTCTGGTATAGCAGCCAGTAGTGCCTGGGAATATAAAGTCATCACGGCCTGGAAGAAAAATCTTCTCAGCCTTAGAAACTCTTTAACACTCTGGCAAACACAGAAAGGACATTTGGGGTGAAGGAGCTAGGTTTCAGGAACTGTGTTGATAGGCATCAAACTCAAAGGGACAATGACTGTATCCCTTCCCCATGCCAGGGCAATAATGCATCCATGACTGCTCCAGCTGGTTCTCAGTTGACAATTCCTCAAAAGCAGAATTTGTATAAGACTAGAGGATGAGGAGTCTTGTCTGCTGTAAATGTGAACCTTGACTCACTCTGTACATCTACCTTAGATAGAGATCTCTGACCAACGAAGTTATATAGTAGAATGGAGAGAGAGAAAAGCAACTTATCTGTTATTGTAATAGAAGGCAGGCATTCCAGGCAGATCCAGGACAATTTCCACCCTCTGGAACATTTAAAGCATCACTGCCCAAGCTCTGCATTGCATTCTGGAAGAAGGACTCTCAAACAAGATTCCAGGAAGACTTGGTCATTCATCTCCCCCCCTGTTCAGATCAACGTCTGTCCCTTTGCTTGCATGGTTTCAAACAGCTTTAAGTACCTACCCTTGGTACTGCCCAACTTGCTGGCACCTACCTTGGGACAGGATGATAGGCTGCCACAGCCACTGCTTGTGTTTGTCTTTGGATGTCTACAGCATCCCCCTCCACATAAATACTTCCCCTCCCTGTGAGAAGGCAGAGGAGAGCCCAGCAGTTCCGCCTATAGTCTTCAGATCTCAGGCGCCAAGCAGAAAGACGCTTTCTGGAAAACAGAGAGAGAGAGAAAGGGAAAGAAAGGGGCAGACACTGCACGCCGCCAGCCCTCCTCCCTCAGTTGTGAGCACAGCTGCCATTAACCATATGTATGCCCAGCACCCACAGCTGAGAGAAAAAAGACAGGTTTCCTCTGCCAGAAAGTATCTCCAGATGTTGGGGATCCAGAGCCAAGAAGTGAAACATGGAAAGAAAGGAAAGATAGTGTCACTGTTCACAAAAGTGGGGAAAAGGCACTTCTGAAGCCAAGGAATCAGATACTCTTGATTCCTTTCGTGCCGTCTCTCTATATTATTACATAATAATTACTTTTCCCTGTTTTTTCAAATGTGTCTGGCTTATTTGCTACAAGCAGCAGCATGTAAGTGGAGATAAGCAATATGCATTTCTACCAAGCAGATCCCTAGCAAGATCCCTGTATGCTTCAAGTTACCAGCTCACAACTCTTTCTCCCTTCTCTCCTGTTGGTCCCAAATTTGCTTTTTACATACTGAATATAAATGCGAGTCAGTGACCGATAAACATCCGCTGAATAATAAACTTGTATATCACAATGAGGTTGGAAACTTAGCTTTTATCTGTCCCTGTGTGAGTTTTGCTTCTTCTGACTAGTTAACTTTAAACAGTCTATGCTTTCTTAGTCTCAGGGACTATATAAATTACCCCAAAGCTAATACTTGTAGGTAATTTAGTTGAAAGACTTTGTACAAAAGGATAAAAGAAACATTAAAGTACAGAGACATAGTAGGAAATAGAGGCATCACATCAGTTCTGCTGAGATACCAGCCATCTCCTCCTATCCTAGACTTGCTCTCAGTCCAGCTGGTCATAATTGAGACTCCTGTATGGTTTTATGAACTGTTGGCCTGGGTTTGGTTGTTTTGTTTTCCCTCCCCAACCTTTTTTCTCTTGGTGTCATGACTTTTATATTATAAGCCTGAAGGAACACTTTATTTTATAAATCATATGCAAGGAACTCTGGGAGCCTTTTCTGCAGACATGAAGTCTGCAGGGGGAATATGAGAAGTAAGTCAGAAAATGTACTGGAAACTAAAATTAGGATAATATAGGAAACTACTAGAAAAACAGAATGTCAGAATCTGGTGGGAGGCTCACGTTTGTTGTCCTCAATCTGCCAGGGAAAACATAAAAAGCAAGGAATCTTCTGCAAGCAGGCAGCCTCAACTAACCCAGTCTGAGAAGGAAAGGAAGCAAACAAACAACCTGTTAATTGCTTCCTTTTGGTCTTGTGCACCAATATACCAGAGGAAATGAAGCTAGGAGTACATTAAGCCAGCATCTTCCTCCCCCAGTCCTCATTTCCTCACCTTGTTCTCATTTCCAAGGGCTCAGCTCCTGCTGAATAAAGATACTTTTAGGCATAGATTCTCTAAGCCTGGTTATTTCCTTCTACCTCCCCACCCCCCTCCCCACACTTCCAAAATAGGAGCATTTAAAAAATGCTTTATGCTACCTCTGAGCCACTTAGTCCAGTATTGCCTAATCAAGATAATGATGGTTTTAGCTGGTGGCAGGATTTTCCCCTTGTCACTTTATCTACTACCAGGCTTCTTCTAAAACAGTGTTTCTTAAAGTGTGGTCCTAGGAGCTCTGGGGATCCCCCAAGATCCTCTCATGGGTCTACAAAATCAAATTATTTACCAGCCTAAGTTGAAAAATAATAGAATATTAAAATCCAATCAAATAAGTGTGAAGTGTAGTAGCAGTGAATGCATTAATTTTACGTTTCAGTAAGGTAAATATTGATAAATATGTCAAAAGTTCAATAATTTTTAAAAGAGGGAGGAAGTCCTGAGAGAGAAAAGTTTTTAAAAATACTGCTCTAGAAAATGTGCCCCGTGATTATTTCGCACATCAATCACTTTTTACAGAACAGAAATGCCTTTTCTGTTTGTTAAGGAATCTCTAAAAATCTAAGCAAGGAAGATTTGCTAAAGTCCTATTGACCCACCTATTTTTTCCCATTGTTCCTTTACCAGTCAAGAAATGCATTGCACCGTTCATTATACTCAGATAAATACTAACATTATCAATAGGAATCCACATTTCTGTTTTCAGTAATAGTCTAATCCCCTCACTTGACTGTTAGGAAAAGACTGACATAATGGACAATAGAAAAGGCAGAACTGCTTATATCACTACTCTCCTCTATATATTACTATTAATTTACCAGCCTCACCACTGTCCGTGGAAAATAAATACATATGGAGGGGGAGGAGGAATCTTACCAAAATTATATTTGCTAAATACAAACCCAATTAAGTCATTTCAAAGCTAATTAACAGCAACACAACAATCTGGAGAAAAACTTTTTTTCTAAATCCAGGAACTTGGGAGTTTTTGAACTGAGATTATCTATTCCACTTCCTTAATCAGTTTGTTTATTTTAAGCATCTATTCTAGGAATTCCCCCCTCCCGCCAATATGGACCTTTGTACTTTGAACACATTTTCTTTCTCTCTTGTAACATTAGAAACTTTAGTTTATTTGATGAAACTCATTGGGCAGAGATTCAGATCAGATAAAATATGTTTTTGTATACAGCATACACTCCAGTTAGGTTATAGATGCACTATCACCAGATGTGATTGTGATTACAAATTCATGTTAAGCAGAGCCATTAAGTAGTACTAATGATGGCTAAATGGACTTCCAAGATCAGAAGTGGTATGCACTTAGTACCAGTTCCTTGAATACATAAAAGGCAGCACTGACTATAAGAATTTTTTTCAGGGTTTTTCATCTATAGTCTAGTCTACTGGAATTAAAGAATTCCCAATGTAGACAACCAACTCATAAAGCTGTAAGATTTTCCTCACTTAGATTACTCATCTGTATTAATGAGTATGGTGACCTAGGGGGCAGGAAGAATGTTGCCACAATGTCTAATGAGCAGCAAAGGTTGGAGATTTTTCAAAGGGTCTTCCCACACTTGCCAATTGGCAAGTTGCTCATCTGCATTTATCTTTGTCTTAACTAGGGTAACAAATTGTTATACTGTTAATTCTTTTGGCTTTTTATCCTCAGTGGCACCTATAAGTTTGACAAAACCCTTTAGCCAGTCACTCACTCTCGGTCCACTTCATTTTCCAGGGCTGTTATGGGAAAAATAGGAGGAAGGAGTATTAAGGTATGTTCGCTGCCTTGAATTATTTATAAAGATAATGTAGGAAGAAATATCCTTCTGGGTTCAGCTCCAAGTGGGGAAAAAGACACTGGAAACATGGAGACTGCTTGGAAAGATGGTTTAATGGTGGACAGGATCACATGGCTTGAGTTTCTGAACAGAAAAGGGGTGAGACACAGCGAGTCCCCAGGTTTTATGCCCTCTCTGGCTTTGAACTTCCTGGGGCCCAGAAAGAGTATCCTGATTGGTTGTCAAGACTCCCAGGGGGCAGGGGTCTTAGCTAGCCTTGCTGGCTGATGTAATCTTCCCAGGTGCCATGTGGTGAGTTTCTGTTGCTAGATGGGTCCTATTGTGTTGCAGATGATGGCCCCTTGACAAAGGTTGGGTGCAGGAAGATGGGAGCTGCTTCGTCCTTAAAACATGCTTCTCCATTTCTCATCCAGGGAAACATAATATTCTGCCTTTTTAATATTTCCCAAAATATTTCATTCCTCTAGGAAAGGGGTGGGTGCTAACTTCTTACAATAACAAAGATGGTGTTAAAAATGCTTCTGTTGAGCTCCCTCAGTACCCACTTTTTAGCTTGTCGTTGGCTATTTGCTTGCCTCTCTTGGTTGAAATCTGTATAACTCAGAAGGAAAATATGGCCATGTGAAAATACTACGAATCCTCTCACTATCTGCTTGCTTACAGGAGGCTAGGAGACAGGCAGACAACAACATTAGGAGAAATAGTAGAAGGGTCAGATATTGCAGGGATTGGCAGTTGGCCCCCAGCTGCAGTACAGACCTCAGCACAATTCCAGCCTCAAATTCCAAAATCCATCCTGTTGGGAATATATTGGAGAAGGGATGTGCCAAAAATTGAAATAAACAAACCAAAAAGAGGAAGGAGGAAAATGGAATCTCTCCATTAGAACAAACAGAATGCTTGACAAGGGACAGCTGCTCTTTGAAGAATAGCTACTTATGTAACTGATTTACACTGAATCACATCACTGATTCTTTTAGCTTAAACTCTGTTTTATTCCAGTCTACCTACCAAAGTGTATTTTCAGGAAGGATGCTAATAACTGCTGTCTGCCTACTCTCTAATGTTCACCCTCCAATTATCTCCCATACAAGCAGGTGCACCATATCTAGTAAGTTATAAGAAAGTCAATGCTTTGACTCAAGGAGAATAGATCTGGAGAAAGTCACAGTCTTGTCTCTCTTTGTCACTAGCCACAGGGGATTCACCATACAAAGACTGCAAAATGACGGCTTCATTATTCACGTTGCAGTATAATCCAAGTACTTATCATGATATTCCTTACAATATGCTGTAAGGATGTATGTATTTATTGGCAGAAGTGAAAATGAGACAACTTAAAAGACCGATAGTAGTCTCAAACCCTGAAATAATCCATCAAGTATAATCATCTTTGTGAAAATCTTACACATGCCAAACTCTCTGTACCTCTTGAAGCAGATTACTATTTCCTTTCCACAAGCACAAAATAACCATAACAGTCTAAACCACGGGTGTCAAACTTGCTGCATCACGTTGCCGTCACGTAATATTTTGCAACGTTTTCCCCCTCCACATCCAGCCGGTGTGCCACTAGTTTGACACTCCTGAACTCCAAACAATGACTGTATCCTTCTTAATGCTTGGCATGATGAAGTTCTTGGTGAGCTCAAAAGTTTACACTATTCACTGTTTTTTAATGTTCATAAAGGTAATGCCCACCTGAGAATACCAGAACATCATATGAGTCATTCTACAATCTCACAGCAAGTGGCAGAACTTAGTCAAATTTGACTGATCTTCAAAAAGGAGGGCTGGGCCTAGTGAGTACTAGAATGGAAGACTGCCAGGAAATCCCAGGCTTGGGGTGGAAGGTTAAAAAAACATCCTGAAACAAACAGCAAACCTTTTGTACCATTGCCAAGAAAGCTCTATGGGTACGTTCATGAAGTTATCAGGAGGCATGTTTAAGTGAAAGGAATCTTTACCTTTTCTATTAGTGTCTCAGAAGTAGATCAACGGGGAAAGGCAGTACCAGGTATACAGCAAGTTTATACTAAAATGTATTTTATTCTGGACATTGTCCTGGTTGCTTTTGGTGTATCAGTTTTTCTTAAATAAATCACATTCATGCTAAATTGGAAACCAAATGGACATAGTCTATTAAGATGGTCAAGTTGATGCCTTCTGGGCTTATCTGGGAGGTTTTTGAGCTGTGGATCCCACATAGAGTCCTCTGTCATCATGGCTCTGTCACTTGTGGATTGCACCTCTGCCCCACCAGGCTAATAAAGGTGACCAGAAGAGAATTATAAGCCAGATAGGACTTTAATCAATGCCTTTTTGAGGGACAATGAGATGCCATTAAAAAGGCCTCAAGTGGTCTGCATCCGATAAAATGGGATAACTCCTATCCTACCTCCAAGTCTTCCTTTTGGGAGGAAAGCTATTAAATAAGTGTTGAAACTATATGTGTAGAGAGCTCTGGAGGATAGATATGATCTGGTCACTTAGCAGCCTGGGTTCAGGCCTGGATATCAGATGGAAACTGCATTGGTAACTTTAATGAGTGACCAATAAAAGATCTTGGATGTGAGTGGTTCAACCATCATGCTCCTCCTAGACCACTCAGTGGCCCTCAATACTGTCAATCACAAGTATCCTTCTGGACTGCAAGAGTTAGAACAGCATTTCACTTCTACCTGAACAAATGAATTCAAATGATTATAGAAGGAAGTTTAACCCAGATAGCTTATGGGCCTCAGGATTCAGTCATTTTTGTTATTCTGGTCTATGTGAAACCACTGGAAGAGGCCATTGGTTGGTTGGAGGTATCATCAATATGTAGATGACATCCAGTCATGCATTTCTATCTTAGGCCCATTGTGAAATATGGTAGAAATCAAAAGTATTAGGAGGCTTTCAAGATCTGGATGGGGAAAAACAGTCTCGGAGCCAACCTGAACAAAATGGAATGGCTGTTGACTCAGAGTCTGATTCCAAAACACTATCCTTAATTCTTAATGGGATTGTGCTTCCCCACAAAAAAAGCAAACTCACAATCTGAAGGTCCTCTGGAACTCACGTTCTTGCTCATATAACAAAGGGCAATTGCACCCAGAATGGCTTTTGCAGTTTTGTCTGGTACACCAGTTGTGCCCTTATCTATAATAGGATACCTTATCATCTCTAGATTGCTGTAACTCACTCCACATGAGGCTGCAGAACACCTGGAAACTTCAGATAGTCCACAACAGTGGCAGTGGTTAGTCACAATATGCCCATATTACATCCCTCATGCAGAAAATGCCTTGGTTACTAATAGGTTTGTGAATGTAGTTCAATTGCTTTATAAGAAGTTAGATCAGCACCTATAAAGCCCTATATGGCTCAGGGCCTTGGTAATTTAGGAACCACAATTTCTTTATAGTTTCTGCTCTCTATACCTGAACAGTTAGAGAACAACTGCTAAGCGTACCCATCAATCAGGGAGATGGGGGCACAGTTGCAGGCATTTGTCATAGCAGCTTCCTTCACAATAGCTTGCCCTGATGTAAAGGATGGCCCTTTAGCCTTCCAGAAGCAGGTGAACATATGGCTGTTCTGGCAGGCTTTAGGGAATTAATTATATGCAGCAGCGCCAAATTCAATATATTTAGCTTTTTACTTTTAGTGTTAATTTAAAATGAGATTTAATTAGATTACTGCTTTAATTATACTGACTTTACTGCATTTTATAAGTAAATTCTGCATATTGCCTTTAGACTCCTTTTGGTTTTAGGCAGTATGCAAATTTCATTATTAAATTTAAAAAAAAGCTATTCATATGAACAAAGATTAAATGAAAAAAAATTAAGCCAAAAGAAATTATTTTGAATAAAAAAATAAGCCTTTTTAGTAGTTAATAGAATAAGAGTTGGAAGGGACCTCGGAGGTCTTCTAGTCCAACCCCCTGCTCAAGCAGGAGACCCTATTTCAGACAAGTGGTTGTCTAGTCTCTTCTTAAAAACCTCCAGCAATTGAGTACCCACTGCCTCTGAAGACAAGCTGTTCCACTGGTTAATTGTTCTCTCTGTTAGAATTTCTCCTTAATTCCAGGTTGATTCTCTTCTTTATTAGCTTCTATCCATTATTTCTTGTCTTGCCTTCTGGTGCTTTAGAAAATAGCTTGACCCCCACTTCTTTGTGGTAGCCTCTCACATATTGGAACACTGGTCTCATGCCAGCCCCAGTTCTTCTTTTCACTAGACTAACCATAACCAATCCTTGCAACCGCTCATCATGTGTTTTAGTCTCCAGGCCCCTAAACATCTTTGTTGCTCTTCTCTGCACTTTTTCCAGTGTCTCAACATTTTTTAATAATGTGCTGACCAAAACTAGATGCAGTATTCCAAGTGTGGTCTTACTAACGTTTTATAAAGCAATACTAATACTTCTTGTGATCTTGATTCTATCCCTGTTTATGCAATGTAAGATTGAATTGGCTTTTTTTGGTTGCTGCCGCACACTGGCTTATATGGCACACTGGCTGGCTTATATTTAAGTGATTGTCCACTAGGATTCCAAGATCCCTCTCATTGCCTTTGAGCAAGGTTTCACCTAATCTGTACCTGCATATTTGGTTTTTCTTGCCGAAGAGTAAAACCTTACTTTTCTCTACACTGTATTTAATTTTGCTAGATAGGGCCCAATGCTCGAGTCTGTCAAGAACTATCTGGATCTTGACTTTATCATCTGGGATGTTGGTTATTCCTGCCAGCTTAATGTTGTCTGCAAACAATCTTGAATTCCAATAAAGTGGATTAATTACCTTTAATCTTTAATCTTGAATACAAATAAAGTGGATTCATTAGTTTTGTTGACAGGTAGATCTGTCACCTCGAATTACCTAGTTTTTTGTATGGAATTGTTCTTTTGAAATGAGTTCTACACATTTCATCAGATAACCTTACTTCTGCAAGACATAACAAACAACACAAAAAAACTATCTTTTCAGAGCAGGTACTAAAAATTAATACTGTTGGGTTCACCTTCCAGGAAATCCTGGTAATATTAGCAAAAATGTACATTCAGGTTTATTGCCACTTAGAACCTTTAAGGCTTTTCCCCACCTGCACCAGCCTATGACAAAAAACAACCTCGCAACGTATTTTTTCTGCTGTATCTCTACAACACTGCCTTCATTTCACAGGCCATGCATGAGACAGGCTTAAACCATACTTAGCTACTAAAACAGTACTGTAGCTTCTGACATCATCTAAGGATATTCTTGAAATATATAAAATTAGTTAGAGGGTTGAGACACTGGCTGGGAACAGATGCAACTAAGAATAGCAATAGGAATCAAGAAATGTCAGGGCAGTACTGGTTTTTTTTTGTTCTGCCAACCTAAGGATAAGTGACCAGGAATGGTCGGGCAGAGGAACGCTGCCAAGATGTAGCTAATTAGATAGATAGATGTTTTTGTTACTTTTTACAAATAAAAGAGTTTTATTAGAGAATACTTCTTCGAGTTTTATTTCAGAATATTGCAACTTGGAGAAAGCCACGGTCCATCCTCTAATTAATAGTGAGATTATCCCAGAGCCAAAAATGGGATCGATCAAAACCCTGACAAGAACACTACCCTATTAACAGATAAGGCCCTTAGTAACAACCAGCAGTGTGGACAGGAGACACATTTTCAATGTTTGATGTCTGGCCTCCCTCAGGAATATCCGTGTGCTGTTTTGACGCAAACTACTACTCGTAGTGGGCTATTTTATGCTGACCCAATTTAACAGAAGACAGAGTTGGAAGGGACCTTGTAGGTCATCTAGTCCAACCCCCACCCCCCACCCCAAGCAGAAGACCCTGCATTTCTGATTTCTCAGAACGTTTTGCTATCAGAAGCTAAATACAGCTTTATTCTTGGCCCATTATTAGCACCATTTTCTTCTCCACAAGAGGGACGCTTTTGAAACTCCAGGGCTGGTAACATTTTTTGGTAAAATCCGTGAGAAGAGTTAAAAAGACACGGGGCACCGATGGAGATCTGCATCCTTCTCCTCTAATTTCGCTTTCCAGCAGACAACGTAGACCAGCAACTTCTGAGAGCCCCGAGGAGCGGTTTCTTCCATCTTTCTTCAACGAGATTCGTAGAGGAAGAAAACGACAAGCCAGGACATTTCGGAACGACATCGAGTACCCGCCATCTTAAATTACCCGAAATGCTCTACCCGCTGTCGAGCGTGGTATTTTGGGTAGCTTAAGATGGCGGGCGAGAGGGCCGTTTAAAAATGGTGGCGAACCCACTTACCCCACCCCCCTCTCTCCCTCAGCAGCCTCAGAAGCCTTTCCGCTGGTGAGGCGATCGTGTTCGAGGGGAGCCTTAGGGCAAAGGAGGGAAAGCAGGGAGCCAGCGAGCGGCGTTTGTTCCGTTCAGAGCCCGGGAACACAAGATTTATGACCTCATCCATCTAAAGCCGCCCCGGGAAATGGCTCCGAACTCCTGGTTTGGAACTGGCGTTAAAGCTCCGGGTGTTCTCAAACCCATCCGAGCGTTCTTGAACCTTAGACCAGCCTCGTCGACGGGCAGATGATCCTCTCCAACGACTAGGATGTAGGGAAACGTCCGACGCTCGAAAGCTCGTTGAGTTCGCTCAACGAAGAAGAAGACCCTCGCGGGGCTTCCTTTGCGCGCTACTCAAACTGCGGAGGCAAAAATAAAGTATATCTGGGGTTTGGGGGTTTGTTTGTTTTTTTGCAAACGCCAGGATTTCTGGGCCCTCTGCAGCAAAAGCTCTAGTCTAGTGCCGCTCTCTGCTACCAGGCCCCTCTGTAAGTCTAGCAACGCGCAGAAAGTGAAGAAGGGCAAAGATTTGCGGGAGTGTGGGTGCGGGTGTGGTTGTATGCATATATGGGTATGGGGGAATTGGATGAAAAATTTCCAAATTTTCATATTAGCAAAGAAATCGCCTCCCGAGGTTCACATATAGCTGAAAAATATTCCTCCAATAATCGCCCTCATTTGGTGTAAGTGCTGGAGACGGAAAGTCTTCCAGATTTTGATGTACGGGCGAATCTCACTACTGTTAATTCAGCTTAATTGGAGATGGGGATGGAAGCCTTTGTCACTTTGAGCAGGTCTTTAAAGGACAGATACCTTACATGCAGACTATAATCAAATCTTTCCAGTAATAATGTATTTTGCTGCTTTTCTTCTGAATGAAAATCGTTCATAGGATATTTTCAGCAGCGTTTTGGGGTTTTTTTTTCTGAGCAAACTGGAGAAAAAACTGGAACAAGCAATTACTATATTCTGGCTGCATTCCTTTGCAAGAAAGCATTATGTTTGTTGCCCCTGCAGCATTTGACATAGCTATAGTTGTGATCCAGGTGCCCGGCACAGATATGCCAAATAATGTGACAGAAATGGGCCTCATGATAGTGGTTAGGAAAGCTGGTTAATTGTTCAAGACTGATTAGTTGCTTATTCTCTGCTTACACCTAGCTATCCACCACGTTCACTGGAAATTTTTCAGAAGGAATGGGGATAGCAGCCACACATAGCAGCCAATACTTTTGGTTGAATTTGTATTATTTCTTTCATATTTTGTTTGTGATGTTACTATTTCCATGTATCCATTTTCTGTGTTTAGATGACACCTATCTGGATGTGTAATATATTATTACTGAACCAACAGTTACGACATATTGTACTTCTACTTCACCTCTCCCTTCAGCCTCGTTTATTTATTGTGTAATGAATTGTGGGAAATGTAGTCTTTGTGTGTACAGGAAGTGAAATATATTCTCTTGATTAAACTAGGGGGTGTCGGGATCTGTAGTAAACTCTTGGGTGTGGTGCATGTTGGGATCTGCAGTCATTTTGGGAGGGTGGGCTTGCTGCAGGAAGATCTTCCCTCCTCCGGTTGTTCCCGGTGTGGGGAGGAGCCTGGTCGGTGAGTGGGTTAGAAAAGGGGGAGATGTAGGGGGGTTTGTTTTTTGCTTCTTTTGCCAGATACCTAGATTTTCAGGAGGAACTGGTGAGGTTGAGAGGAAAATGCATTTCCCACCTTTTTCTTTTTCTTATATGATTGGATTCAGTTTGCCCCTTGCCCCTGCCCCCAAACTATTCATTTTATCTGGGTTTAGGTAAGGCATTTTTTCAGTTAATCATATTACTCTGTCTCCATCCTCAGAGGTTGTGCCAGCCTATGTATGGTATTGCTTTTGCTGTATGTGGGATGATTTTATTGTCTTAACCTGCAAACCTAGTGTCAGCTTTCAGAGGGGGGAGGGGAACAAATAGGATGGCAGCAGACCTCTATGATTTAGGTCAAAGCCATTGGGGCCTGGTGATGCAGATACTGATCACTCTTGTCCATCCTTGTGCCCCTTTCCTGACTTGCCTTCCATTGGCTCCCTTGCCCCAAGCAAGGAGTTGATGACAACAGCAGCAGCTCTTTCAAAATAAGCTTTGGTTTGCTCTAGTTTTTCATCCCTAGAATGAAATACCTGAGGATGCTGCTGCTGCAGCCAAAAACATGCTGATAGTGAAGAGAAAGATAATAGCATAATTGCAGCAGGAAAGCACAGAACAGCAATGGCAATCTTGGGCCCTTGCACAGTTGTCTATACATGCTTTTCATTTCTGCCAGACCTGCTTCCATCAATTGATTTGCTTCACTCTGGGTCCCAGTGATATTTATATTCAAAACTCTGGAATGCTGTGAAATTTCTCTAGGCATTTTGTTAAATGCTGAAGCAGTTACTTCTCTTGATAGGATACTTGCCTAGGCACAAAGATGCCAGTCATGCCTCTGCAAATCTTGCCCGAGCAATTTATCCCTCATCAAACATTTTTATTTCCCAGAATGTCTCATTCAGGAAGACTTCCGATGCAGCACTGTCATTGCACCAACTGAGAGTTGTCAGTGGAAAAATGTTTTCAGCTCTTCATATAACTTCCAGCAAAGAGATTCTTATGGGTAAATTGGCTGTGGAATTGATGGAATTTTAACATCTGATTTTCAGTCTCTTTGTGCATGGTAAACACCATATGGATGTTTACCATTAAAAAAAGCTTCCTTCTCCCTTACTATTTCATTGCAGTGCTGTTTTATCTAGTCCCGGATGTATGATAAATCTACCGGTAGTAATGTAGAGTAACATTGAGAGAACTGTTATATAAGTTCTGAGAGGGTGGAGTTTGCAATATATGAGACATAGCACCATCACTATTTGAGCAGGGGAAAAAAAAGCCTTTTGGGTCTTTCAGTGGAACTGGTTGGACCAGTCAGCAATCTTTTTGACCTGTTGACATTTCCTGATTGTATTTCCTCAATCCTTCTGGAGGAGGAGTTGAGCTTTGCCACCTGTTGCATTCTGTTAGTAAAATTTCTCCCCTGAGGTTCCAGCAAGATATGATTCTGGAGCGATCAAACAGGTCTGTAAGGGGTATTAATTTCTACTCAGTATAGTAGGGGGTGTTTCCTAGTGGTAGGTGAAGTATTAAATCTAGTGCTTTCTGAAAGAACATGTAGAAAGTTCGGTGGTGACTTCTGGTCACAGCCATGGAACATACTCATTGATAAGGAGAGGAAAATTGGATTGAAAAAATTGCTGGAGGTGAAGGGATATGTGTTGGATAACTTCAGCACACTACTTTTTATGTTCCCATTTAACAGTAACAGAGTTGGAAGGGACCTTGGAGGTCATCTAGTCCAACCCCCTGCTCGTGCAGGAGACCTGTACTAGGGATTTGAACCACCGAGCTGCCGACCTTTCTGATCAACAAGCTCAGTGTCTTAGCCACTGAGCCACCTAGTGTTACATTTGCCACCTTCCAGCACCATTTTATTTGGGGTTGAAATTTCACTTTTAATTGGTTTAGCAGCAACAGTTTAACTGATGATTATGAGTTTATTTTAATTGTTGAGAACAAATTCTGTAAGTTGGGATCACTTTGTAAGTATACTGCTGTTTGCTATTTTGGTCTTACGTTTAGCTTTAAAGATATCATTATCTTCAAGCAGCGTAGGATAGTTTTGTATATGAACAGCCTCTGTGGCAAAGGATTTAGACTTAACTTGGATAGAGCTTAATGAGTGGCCTCGGTCAAGTCATGTCTTTTATCCTGACCTATCTCATGGAGGTGCTTTTTGCCAATAAAATGGGAGATGATACCTATCCTGAACTCTTTGGAAGAAAGGCAAAATAATAGATTGTGAGCTATGTTATTTTAACAAGACACATTTAATAAGGTTTTAAATCTATATTATTTTAACCAATTCCTGATTAAAGAGAAAACCATTAGTCACTAAAAATGTGTTAATCATTTGGCAGTTCTGCTTTCTATGTGTCAGTTTCTCATACGCAATTTCCTCCAGCTCCACCAGGTATCCAAGTATTTCTTGAAAGGACACAGCCTACTTAGTCTTGTTTCCTGTTCCACTGCAGAATTTCTCAGTTAGTTGTCTGACATTCTGTCATGCTGTGGCAGCTCTTTCTAGGTTTCTTGTCTTTTCCTTGTCCTCCCGTAAACCTGGGCAATTACCACAGTACTCAATTGGTGTGTTCATTATCCCCATCCTTTCATGCTGACCTTGCCTTTTCTTTCCAAGGTTCCCGGGAACCTCAGGCTGATGCCCATCTCAGCTCGTCCACGCCTGCAATGGGATGATACTCTGAATCCCTTGAGGATTAGTGTGGGCAGTCTTCCAGTGCTGGCGTCCATGACCAAAGCAGCTGACCCCCGTTTCCGCCTACGTTGGAAGGCCATTGTGGCGACCACTCTGGCCCTTGTCCTAGTGTTGCTTCTCCTTTGTTTCCAGCGTTCATCCCCTGTAAACAGGCCAGTTCCTCTCAATGCTCATACCTGGAGGCTTAATGTTCTATCCAGTGAGAGGTATAATGACACTTACCCACTGTCACCACCCCAGCGGATACCAGAAGGTGTGCGGTACCGTATTGGACTCATTGCTGACCTTGACACAAACTCCAAGGGTCCCAATGAGCACACCTGGTTCAGCTACTTGAAGAAGGGTTATCTCACATTGTCAGCCAGTGGGGACCATGTCTCTATTGAGTGGGATACAAAGGACCATATATTGGAATCTCACCTAGCGGAAAAAGGACGTGGCATGGAGCTTTCTGAACTGGTAGTCTTTAATGGTAAACTCTATGCTGTGGATGATCGAACGGGTGTGGTCTACCAGATTGATGACACCAGGGTGGTCCCTTGGGTGATATTATCTGATGGAGATGGCACAGTTGACAAAGGTGAGCTCAGGTTTAAGTTCTAGGTTTTATACTGGAAGGTTCCCTAACCTTTATGTAGTTCCTCAGTTTCTTAATATTACAAGTAACGCTATAGCCACCAGAAACCTTTCAGAATTCTCTAAATATCATGCCTCCTTTTTTGAACTTTACCCGATTTACTAACATTCTGTTACATTGTCTAGTAGAGGTGAAACTTCTTTAGAGGTAAAAGAAATGTTTATTTTACAATTGTTCTGCCTTTGGCCTAAAATCACTACACACACCCCATCTTCAAAAATGTTAAAAAATGAAATATACTATAAAAGCAAGAAAAAAAAGGAAGAATATAATATTTGAAGTGCTTTTGATTTGGAATTTTTGGTTGTGTTTTTAATACATTAATATTGAAATATTTATATTAAAGAACATTATAGCACTGTTCATGTAGCTGTAATGCTTTTTCCATTATCCAGTTTGTTAAAATAATGGTCAGTGGAAACTTCTGTTTCCATTTTATATACATGCATGGACACCTTGAGGGAAGAGTGCTATAGCATTTTATACTAAATTATTTAGCATGTCTTGTTTCTTATACCTTTAATGATTCGGGGCAATTTATAGAAATAGCATTAAAACTGCAAAAAGAAAAAGATGGAACAGTTTTCCAGTATTATGAGGTTTTTTAAAAAAACTGATAAAAATGTTGTCTGTGGTAAAACATTGAAGGAATGTATTGAGTTGCTGTAGATATGTTTTATAAATTATTACCTATGTCAAGATCATAACCCATATAAAAATCATGACAATAAGACATTTTTATCTGCAGAATATAATAATATAAATAGGCAGTTCTGAAACATTTTGGTGTTAGGACCCCTTTACAGTCCTTGAATTATAACTGTAATGGAGTCTGCCTATTATGGTTGTAAGTCACGATGGTTGTAAATTGGATTGGTCTTGTGACCAACCCAAATCTATGACCTTTTTTACAGGGGTCATTAAGCAAATGCCATAGTTGTTAACTGAACCCTTGATTTGCTATGGGCTGGATTTGCCAAAAACCAGAAGTAAATGTCCATTTTCAGGAAAATCATTATAAAACCTGATCATGTGACTGCAGAATGCTACAAATGGCCATAAAAATGCCCCAAAGTGCAGCCATATGACCACCGGAGGAGGGGGTGGGCAAATTATGAGAACTTCGAAACTGGGTTGTATGTACACACACACACACACACACACACACACACACACACACACACACACACACAGAGTAAGTCTGTCATAACTTTGAATGGTTGCTAAGTGACCGGTCATAAATTGTGGGTTACTGTACATTCTTAAGAACACCAAAGAGTTTTGGTTTATGTAGCTTATATCTGTTGCTATTTATTGTGTTAAAAATTAAAACTGGTAATTTTAAAAAATTATATATTTGACTTCGCAGACCCCCTGAAAGGTTCTCCAGACTCAAAAGTTCTCAGAACTTCTGATGTAAAGAAATAGAAGATATAGAAACTACATCAGATGGTTTTGAAAAACCATGTTACACTTGTAACTTACAGTGGAAGAACAAATAGTTATTAATACGAGAGGGTGTCTAGAAGCACTTGAAAAACAAGAGACAGACTGGTGGTAGAGGAGGCAAGTTTATGTTGAAGAAAATAATTCTTAAGGTAATTTGGCCAAATTGTCTCAAAGGTGTTTTTTCCAAAAGGCAACTGGACCTTCTTGGGATTTTTGTTTGAAAATGATTCACTTCTCATCCAAGAAGCTTCAGTTTTAACTGGCTGATGGGGAATGGAAGGATTCTGATTTTTCAAACAAAAAACCAAGAAAGTCCAGTTGCCATTTGGAAAAAGTATCTTTGGGACAATTATGACTTGAATGTTTGAAAACTCCATAGACATTTGGTCAATCTGTATTTTACTCATGCTTTGAACAAATCCTGAGAAATTTTAATATTTGTCTTAAAGATGAGAGAGACCCTTTTCAACCTATTGGGGAAACTGGCGCCTGCCTTAAGGGAACTGTCAGGGGGGAGGGGGAGCAGTAGTTTGGGTTGGATATGTGTTGTCTTACATTGTCTCACATTTTGTTCAGGATTTAAGGCAGAATGGTTGGCAGTGAAGGATGAGCACCTCTATGTGGGAGGCCTGGGCAAGGAATGGACCACAACTACAGGAGAGGTGCTCAATCAAAATCCAGAATGGGTGAAAGTCATTGGCTACAAAGGTGACGTGGCTCATGAGAACTGGGTGATCAATTACAATGCACTCCGGACTGCAGCTGGGATCAAATCTCCAGGTGAGCAATGGACTGGCTTCTGTTAACAATAAACCTGGCAACGGCTAAACATTATGCATAATTCTGCTTCTAGTACTTCCTTTCTTGTAAAATGAAGGCTTATACACACTTAATTGTTGGGATTAAAAAGTCAAAGAGGATTTGGATTTTGAGGATGAAAAGTATGAGTGTCCTTAGAGAATAATAATGTCTATTCTTATGCTGGCTATGATTTACCGAGATCAATACCTCTAAAGTTTCTACCATCATTGTTTAATCTTGTAATATTATGGTTCTTCTTCCTTGGAACTTTGTCAGCTTGCGCTGTGTTGTTTTCCTGCTTGTGCACTGAGTTGCACTAGAAAATTTATTTATTTATTTAGAAAATTTATATTGCTGCCTACTCAGACATGGCTACTCAAGGCGGCTTACAAGGAAATAAAAACACCATATAAAAGAAATAAAAAGAAGAAGAATAAAATAACCCCCCACCTACCCCGGCAACAACACACATTCATACTAGCCATTTAATGGACTCCATGCAAAATCCCTTCCAGTTCTGTTATTCTGTAAGTCTTTCTGGTTGTGCTTGCGGATATCTATATTGGTTCTATATGCTTCCCAGGTTACTTGATCCATGAATCTGCCTCTTGGAGTGAGAGACTGCAGCGTTGGTTCTTCCTGCCACGCCGTGCCAGCCATGGACGCTACAATGAGCAGGAGGATGAGCATCGTGGCACCAACTTGCTTCTTAGCTCCACACCAGACTTCACTGATATCTCTGTGAGCCATATTGGTGATATCATTCCCACCCACGGCTTCTCCTCCTTCAAGTTTGTCCCTGACACTGATGATCAGATAATTGTGGCATTAAAATCTGAAGAGGATGCTGGACATGTGGCAACCTATATCACTGCCTTCATGCTGGATGGACGGTGCCTGTTACCTGAAACTCGCATTGGTTCTGTCAAATATGAGGGTATTGAGTTTATCTAATTAAAATATTTTATCCAATTAAAAGAAGTCATACTTTTAAGGAGGTCAGATGAACTGTTGAGAGGTGGCAGAAGTTCTGTTCCTGTTTATTACTCTTAACTCTGCTTCTGCTGCAGAGCATTATGGGACATTGAAGTGCTTCTCTTGGCATAGTTTTCATCTCTGTAAAAACTACTTGGCAATTGTGCTGCCCCCTAGTGGTACAAAGCCTGTACAGCCTTTTTTTCCCCTCTGTTCTATTGTGTCCTAGGATTTAGCCCACACTCTCCTTTATTCAATCAGGCTATTAATTTGGCAGAGCAAACCTAATGAATTGCCTTATTCTTCCCTCCTCCCTCCTGTCCTCTGACTATTCACATGTGCCTTTGCTGAGAAGAAAAAGTCTTCAAACCCAGTTATTCAGCAAAGATATAAGTCAAACATTTGGAAGATTTTCCCTTTGACTCTGCCTATCCCTGCAACAGTCATTTTAATCTTGTCTGCACAGTTTCCTTTTTGATAGGAAATTGCAGGTGGGGCTTTGGCCTCTAATCAGGAAACTTTATGATAACAGCAGAAAAGGAGCTGATGCCATAACTTGGAACTTTCTGGAACAAAATGCTCATCTTCTGTTTGAGAGGTTCTGTTCTGCCTTTGTCTCTAAAGGCAAAGAGTTTTCTTTTGGTAATCCGAATATTGAGAAATCAAGCTTCATATTGGTAAGAAACCTAAAAGACACATATATATGTCGTAGTTTTTTGTGATCCTTCATTTAAAAAAAAATAAATTGTTTTCAGTGTTAGGAAACAAGATCTTATGAAAATATTGTAGCTGGAATCAGGTTCTAAAGTTATTCCAGCTGCAGAATTTTAAGTATTCATCGTTCACCCTTTATGTGTAATAAAATGGGCAAGTGAGCTTCCATGGCTCTTCTCATTGCTGGACATTTTCTGGAAGTTTTATTTCAATCCTAGCACTGTGTCTTATTTTTCAAATAAATTATCAACAGCTTTTATATTTTGAAAGTTACCTGAACTTACCTATGTTTTATCTATACTTACCTATACTTTTTACCTGTTTTTACCTTTTTACCTATTACCTGAAATGAAACAAAAAATGTGTTCACAGTCATAACGTGTCAGCTTTTAAGCAGATAAGATAAAAATGTATGTTTAAGAAACACAAATATTAAGGAACACTTTTGTAGGAAGATGAGTCACACCAGGGATGTCAGACTCGATTTCATTGAGGGCCACATCATGGTTCTGTTTGACCTTGGGGGGCCAGGGTGGGCTTGGCCAGGGTGGGCATGGTCAAAGTGACATCACTCGTGTCGGGGGCACCTGTGATGGCTGAGCGCTCTGCCAGCAAAAATGGGCTCATGAGCTCCGTTTTCAGCTGCAACGGCTTCCTCCAACCCTCTGCCAGAGAAAATGGAGCTCGGGAGGGCCTTCCTGAGCTCCATTTTCTCTGGCAAAGGGTTGTAGTAAGCTGTCGCAGACGAAAATGGAGCTCAGGAGCCTGTTTTTGCTGGTAGAGGTACCACTGGCCAGTCGTTTGCTGTTTCCAGGGTGGCCCCACAGGCCAGATCTAAGCACCCCGTGGGGTGAATCCGGCCCCCAGGCCTTGAGTTTGACAACCCTGTGCTGCACAAACTCCAAAGAAATGTAATGATTTTTTGGATATACCAAAATGTATACAATTGAAGGCTGTGCCATAAATTGTGTGAATATAAAGGAATGTGCTTTCTACCAAACCATTGTGCTCATTGTGCTCAATATTCCCTATTCTAACTGGTAATTTTCTTTAGAGACTGATGGTAAGCTAATTTGCATGCAAAATATGCGCTATTACCGTTGAACTGCAATTTCTCTTTCACAGCGCATCACATAAAATCGGATGCATTTCTAGTGGGGGATTGACGTACATGTTCCCTAAACATTTCCACCCAGTACTTTTGGTTTGTATCTTAAGAGCATGAACCATAAAGTGATGCATACGTAAGAAGGGCGGAATAGAAAAAATGATACATTTTGAATATTGTGTGAAATTCAGAAAGGCTGATCACTAGATGGCGCTACTATACTTATTTGTGACATAGCCATGACATAAAGACCTCTGTCAGCTTCCCTTGAAAGGATCAGAACACTCTCTGGGGCGTGGCTAGCATTTACATCAAATGTGTCAAGTCCAGTCAGTATTTGTGTGTGTTGGCATTTGCTGTTAGATATATTTAAGATTTAGATCGTAAATGTAAGAGTCCAAAACATACAAAAATAATAAATTAGTTTGGACACGCAAAGCCAGATTTTGATAACTGCCTCCCATTTTGTATTGAGAATATTGCCTATAAGGTTGAATTGGTTTTTGTAATCTGCTAATAAGAGTTAAATTGGTTAAAATGTTACTTAGTAACAATTTAAGGATTTTTTTTTCTTAGATGCCCATGTATAATATTTAAATATGTGCTCATTAGCATCACTCTAGTTCTTTGTGTGGTATGTCTTTGTTATTAAGGGGTTGATAACAAGAAGCAAAAATAATTTGAATTTTAGTTAGTAGGGATTGACTTGTGAGCAAAATGCCAGAACTCTGGAAAAATGCAAATATATTTCTGATTTCTAAGAGAAGGAGAAAAGATTTCATTCTTTTTCAAATACTTCACAAAGGACCCTATACATTAGTTAATTTAAAACTCTGGCAGAAATACTGTTCAATTGTTAAACATCCTCACCTCTGCGCAAATTAGCAAATTAAATCCAAATCTAATTTGGATATCATGGTAATTTCTTTTACTTTGAAGCTATCTGCCTCTTTGTCCCATGGATGTTTGACTTCTCCTGCTGAATTAGCCAGCCCAAACACAATCAGGCAGGTAATCTACAAGATAGACTTCTGATTAAGCTCCTGAGCCATTGATTTAATCTCATCCTTGTATGTCCAAAATTATACTTTGTGTGATTTTGCTCAAAATTTTTAAATTTAAATTCAGATTTATTTAAGGAAGTTCAGAATTCAGTAATCCAATTTTTCACATGGCTCTGCCATCTTTGTATGAACTTTTGTAGGTTATTCCCTCTTATGATCTCTTTACTCTGATGCCCTCTAGATTTATTAAACCATCTCCCATGAGTTTTAGATGGCATGACTAATGGTAGTGTTGGAAGACATTTATAATAGAGGGGACAAGTTTGGGAAAAGCTACTCCCAATACTGTACCAGCATTTTCCTCTCTGTAAATAACTCTTATCTTATATCTGCAGATACAGCATCTTGTTCTCTATGGAAGTTTTATTTTTAAAAGATGATTTTTTAAAAAAAAGATAGAAGTGGAGAATAAATGTCCTGAGAGAAAGATTCTTTTAAAATTTTATTAATCAGATTTATCGCAAGGGAAAAGATTACAATGCAAATTCTTGTGAGTCCTCGATTTATAACAGTTCATTTAGTGACCATTCAAAGTTACAACAGCACTGAAAAAATTAACCTATGACCATTTTTCACACTTAACAACTATTGCATTGCAGCATTCCCACCCCTCTTGTGATCAAAATTCAGGTGCTTGGCAACTGATTCATATTTAAGACGGTTGCAGTGTCCCAGGGTCATTGTGATCCCTTTTTGCGACCTTCTGACAAGCAAAGTCAATGGGGAATCCAGATTCACTTTACAACCTGGTTACTAACTTATCAACTGCAGTGGTTCACTTAACACTGTGACAAGAAAAATCGTAGAATGGGGCAAAACTCACTTAGCAACAGAAATTTTGGGCTCAAATGTGGCCTTAAGTTGAGGACTACTTGTATCAGTGTGTGTGCTGAGGTGAGTCTTTCTTAATGCCTTTGGTCTCTCTTCACCTCTCTCTTGTTTTACTGGGGGATTGGCTAACCATTTAAGATATGTGAACAGGATTTGTGGTGGGTGGGGGGGTGTTTGGGGATTGTTATGTGTGTTGGACCTGGTTTTCAGGTGTTAAGTGAATTTCGTTGTATGGGTATACTGTGTATACACGTACAATGACAATAAAATTATTATTATTATTAGGATATGTTGGTTCCTGTTTTCAGTATTTTTCAAATATCCTAGGTTCAGACAACCTGGCTGGATGGTTGGAGATGGGACACCTATTGACAGATACAGTTGCAAGAAAAAGTATGTGAACTCCTTGGGATTACGTGGAGTTTTGCATGAATTGGTCATAAAATGTGCTCTGAACTTCATCTAAGTCACAACAATAGAAAAACACAGTCTACTTAAAATAATACTACACAAACATTAGATGTTGCCATGGTTTAATTGAACATAACATGTAAACATTCACAGTGCAGGGAGGAAAAAGTATGTGAACCTTTGGACTTAATAACTGGTTGACCCTCCTTTGGCAGCAATAACCTTAACCAAACGTTTCCTGTAGTTGCAGATCAGACCTGCACAACGATCTGGAGTAATTTTGGACCACTCCTCTTCACAAAACTGTTTCAGTGTAGCAATATTCTTGGGATGTCTGGTGTGAATCGCTCTCTTAAGGTCATGCCACAACATTTCAATCGAGTTGAGGTCAGGACTCTGACTGGGCCACTCCAGAAGGCGTATTCTGTGCTGTTGAAGCCATTTTTATGTTGAATTACTTGTATGCTTTGGGTCATTGTCCTGTTGCATCACCTATCCTCTGCGGAGCTTCAGGCGGACAGATGGTCGTACGTTTTCCTGCAAAATGTCTTGATAAACTCTGGAATTCATTTTTGTTGATGACAACAATCTGTCCAGGCCCTGAGGCAGCAAAGCAGTCCCAAACCATGATGCTCCCTCCGCCATGTTTTACAGTGGGGATGAGGTTTTGATGTTGGTGTGCTGTGCCTTTTTTTCTCCACACATAGTGTTGTGTGTTCTTCCCAAACAACTCAATTTTGGTTTCATCTGTCCACAGTATATTTTGCCAGTAGTGCTGTGGAACATCCAGGTGCTCTTTTGCAAACTTCAAACGTGCTGTAATATTTTTTTTGGACAGCAATGGCTTCCTCCGTGGTGTCCTCCCATGTACTCCATTCTTGTTTAATGTTTTCCTTATTGTAGATGTGTCAACAAAAAATGTTAGCATGTGCCAGAGATTTCTGTAGGTCTTTAGCTGACACTCTAGGATTCTTCTTTACCTCATGAAGCATTCTGCGCTGTGCTCTTGCAGTCATTTTTACAGGACGACCACGCCCAGGGAGAGTAGCAACAGTGCTAAACTTTCTCCATTTGTAGACAGTCTGTCTTACCATGGACACATGAAATCAAGGCTTTTGGAGATAGTTTTGTAACCCTTTCCAGCTTCATGCAAGTCAACAATTCTTGATCGTAGGTCTTCTGAGAGCTCTTTTCTGCGAGGCATGGTTCACATCAGACAGTGCTTCTTGAAACCAGTAAACACAAAACAGGTGTGGGTTTTTAAAGGGCAGGACAGCTGTCAGCAACACATCCAATATCATCACACTGATTGGAGTCAAGGTTGGCTCACTCCTGGCTCCAATTAGCTCTTGGAGAAGTCATTAGGCTAGGGGCTCACATACTTTTTCCTCCCCGCACTGTGAATATTTACATGTTATGTTCAATTAAACCATGTCAACATCTAATGTTTGTGTAGCATTATTTTAAGCAGACTGTGTTTTTCTATTGTTGTGACTTAGATGAAGTTCAGAGCACATTTTATGACCAATTCATGCAAAACTCCACGTAATCCCAAGGAGTTCACATACTTTTTCTTGCAACTGTAGCAGGAGGAGTCTGAACCTTCCCAACCATGCCTTTCGGCCTTGCTTCCCTTGGTGCAGTTTCTGGTTATAGGTTGTGTCAGGGGTGAAATCCAGCAGGTTCTGATATATGTGATGCCTCATGTATGTTTTTGTAACAAATCCAGTTGTTATCAATCTGTATAATGTATTAATTTCAGTAAAGTCCATTTATTTATTTTCTTAGTAATGCCACAAAAACTTGTAGTTTGCATTCAGTAAGGAAATAGATATGTATGCTTTAGTCCTGTGCCTTGGCAATTTTAAGACATGTGGACTTCAACTCCCAGAATTCCCCAGCCAATACAACTTTACTTCAGAATTTTCTCAGCACAGTTTCAACGTCAACTCCCAGAATTCCCCCAGCCATATGATCCGTATATCTTAAAGTTGCCAAGGCTGAGAAACACTGCTTTAGTCATTTCTTTTTTTATAGATCAAGATGAATTTTTTCCATGAGAAAAGAAGTTCTTGACACTGTTGAATCTAATTGATTACCCAGGATAATCTCTTGTTTCTTTAGCAATAAGTAAGCTTCAATTTGTCTGACTTGTTGCCATTTTCAAAATGTTTCTTTTGACAAAAATCCACTATTCTGTCTCCTGTTGAGGAGATGAAAACAAATAATCCATCTTATGATTTAAAAGTCAATGTTATTAAAAATAAGAAAAAGAGAACGAGGGAGTAGAATTTCTTTCAGATTGTCAAATGCACATAAAGCTAAACAGTTACAGTAATCCTGTATTTTGGCTTTAGGTGATCATATGACAATTGGATGGAATAAGATATTTACTGCCAGTAAGATTAAAAATAGTGCTCAAACAGCAATCTCTCATAGAATATTGAGGAAAATGAAACAATTAGCCATCATTAAAAATAATGCATATTGTAAAATAAGGAAAAGCAATTGCAAATTATTGCTTATAATTTTACCTCAATCAGAAGGATTTCTCCCATTTCACTTCTCCAGCTAGTTTGTCCTGAAATTATAGAAATAAAGTTAAAACAAAGATGAAAAGGTAAAAGATTAAATGAAAGTCTTTGCATCAAGTTTTAATCCTGGTGATAAAATGTTAGCCCTATTATTATCCTCCCCAGGAGTGGTTGACCAGCCAAGTTTCCACTCAGAGCAAGGTGAGTAATACTCCAGGAGGTCTCAAAAGAACCCTGGTAAAGTATAAGGAATTAAAGGCCTTCCTTGCATTGGCAAACATCTCTATTCATGAGACCACCACTGAACAACAATGGTGTGCACAACAAGGTTACAAGGAAAAACTCCCAAAAATGTAGCCCATCCACAGTTTGCAGAAGACCACATGGATAAGCCACAAGGTTATTGGAAGAATGTGGACGGATGAGACCAAAATAGAACTTTTTGGCTTGAATGAAAAATGTTATGTTTGGCGAAAGATAAACCCTGCATTGCAGCATAAAAACCCTATCACATCTGTGAACCAAAGTGTTGTTTGTTCCATGGTTCGGGCCTGCTTTGTTGCCTCTCAACCAGAATGGCTTTTCATCATTGATTATA